TAAGACCCACCAGCAACACTACACCTGAATGGCGTCTCCCCAAAATGACGCAGATGTTGAAAAGACAGAGTATGAGATGCCTCTAAGAGCTAGCAGCCATTGCATCATAGTGCTTGAGGACGTAGTGGAGCTAAAGGAGTTGGTTAGGCAAATCTCCTGGAGAAGATGAGAGATTACAGATGTGGGGACTACAGTAAGATTAAGGACCTTGCGGGGAATTCATTGACAAAGAGAAATGGAAAGGAAGACAGCAAATGAGAGGATTGAATTCAACCCCTGATTCAGTAGGCAATACAGAGAAGCACAAGAACCAAAAAAAGCCTGAAACAAGGACTGAGAACTAGGGTCAGAAAGCAATAGATAAACACTAAAAAGAGCCAGAAAAGAACACATCAGAGACACGACAAAAGATGAAAGACAATTTGAAAATGACATAGCAGCAAAGGCTGAGGACCAACCCAAGCGGTTCGACTACCATATAATGTGAAAAACAACAGCGAGAGACCATGTACTCAGGCTCAGGAGACAATAGACAATTCTCACAGAAAACAATAAGGAAGTATGTGGGGAACTCAACTAAAGATTTCAGAAGATAGTCGCAATAATGACTGTAGAGCAAGTGAACAATACAAATGGAGGAACAAAGTTTACTTTTCTTCTAGTATACCAGTGCACCTGTCTTCTAGGATACTTGTATTTTAGTTTACCTGTTTTTTAGTATACAAGAACACCTGCTCCACCTGTCTTTTAGTATACAAGAACACCCGGTACACACCTGTCTTAGTATACAAGAGCACCCGGTACACACCTGTCTTCTATAATGACCCATAATTATCCATTCATAATGACCCATAAGTCACTAATCGGGCCAAGAACATGGTATCCTTCAGGAACTTATTTTCTTTGCAACTGACATAGAAAACGCGACGCTGGAAAATTAATATTGATGGGATTTGTATTTGTATGGATTAGTGAGGGGTAAATGGACCCCCATATTACGGGCGATATTGTGACCCCCGGATTGGGGGGGGCGTGTGAGGGGGGGGGGTGTCTGCCATATTGTGTTTGTTCTGGATTATGGGGGATTGATATGATTGTGGGGGGCATGATAACAGAGTCCACATACTTCAAACTTCCCCCCACGAGTGTGTTTATTTTGAAAGTAGGTCACATATGCACATACATACATACATACATACATACATACATACATACATACATACATACATACATACATACATACATACATACATACACACAGGTGTCTGCTGGTGTACACCTGTGTACAGTGTGGGGGTGTACAGGGAAACAGTGCTGGGGACAGAGGGTAGGGGAACAGTGCCTTGACCCCCGAATCACTGCAAGATAAGGCTGATCAGTAGGCCTAGTCGTATACTGCCGGTGAGAAATATGCCTATGCTGCAGATCTATTATATGACTGGTGTTTGATTGGCTGTTCACGCCCCCTTGGAGCAAGACATTCCAATCAGTTGCTTCTAGCCTTTGGGCGGGAGAGCTGACCAGTTTTCCCCTGTCCCAAAGTCAGATAGTTTGAGTATATACATCACCTCGATGTGTCAGGATAGTCAGTAAAGTCAGCCTGGTGGTCTGGTGAAGCCAGAGGCCTGTTGTGGACTATGCTTGCAGGAAGGTCAGTTTCGACCGGATCGAGAGACGAGCCTGATATGTGGGCCGGAAAGCTCGCTAAATTTTCGAGATTGAAAACTGCTAAGAGCAGGTAGTCTGCCTGCTGCATTAGCAGGGCAGACTAAGTTGTCCGTCTGTCCGTCCCTTCCTCCCTCCTCTCTGTCTCTCTCTCTGTCTGACTCTCTCCCTGTCTCTCTGTCTCTCTCTCTCTCCCTCACCATGCTGGCGTCACCTCACCCAGGTGCTTCCCGTCCTCCCACTACCCATCCACTGGACCAGCATACTGCTCACTACCCTCACTAATGTCAAGGGAACTGAACCCCGGGTCCACGTTAAAGTGGCATACACGTAAGGGGGCCCAACCATCCTTCCTCGGATAGGGAGAGAGGGAAGGTAGGGAAGGAGGTAGGGAGGGAGGGAAGGAGGTAAGGGAATAAGAGTTATTTACAACTCCAAATACGTACAATCACCATGAATTCTGCTCAGAAATAACGCTCAAAAGTCATATATCCGATAGGAATCGTATTTTAAGAACTGCAGGGGGATTTGGGCAAAATCTGACCAATCGCCGTTTTCACTAATTTGCAATTTTTCGGTATAAAAATTTGTAATTTACAACTCCAAGTAAGTGCAATCACCCTGATTTCCACACACTGGGAGCCAGGTGTGGGAGTGTGGTGGGAGCCAGGTGTGGGAGTGTGGTGGGAGCCACATGTGTGAGACAAGAGGCCGCTGCGCATTTGTTATTGATCCTATGGCGCCCTGCGTAATTTTTCCCCCAGGAGAGACAAGGATGTCATTTGATACTTCACTCGTTTAATGGAGATTATTTCGCTAACTTAAGCTAGTTATCCCAGATTTATTAATTGCTATAAACTTTACTCTGCTATGCTGTTTCATCCAAGAAAAACTAATGCTGAGATACATTATACTTTCTTAAACATGATATAATCAACAATATATTTATATTATGATTGATACCCTGCTAGCGTCTGCCAGGGTAAGTTCAATAGAGTGTTGTATAGTAAGTTTATATAATCGTGGGGTGTAAATGCTGTACATCCTGTGAACAAAATATGCCGGAGGCGTTGACCAGACCACACACTAAAAGGTGAAGGGACGACGACGTTTCGGTCCGTCCTGGACCATTCTCAAGTCGATCGTGGAGGCCTCTCGACGAGTACAGTGAATCAGGTCGAATCATTCGACCTTTTATCTGAATTTTTTACCACCGATCATTGGTCATTTAAGGGAAATTTATATACTATTACACACAGAAATTACAATAGCGTGATGCATCAAATGAACAAATCCACAAGGGTCGTGATGAGGATTCGAACCTGCGTCTGGGATCCTCTCGGACGTAAGTTCCAAGCGTTGTCAAGTTATACCATACATAATAATGTCTTTGCTCCCACCGATATGTTAGGAATACATATGATGAGTACATATCTGTGATGAGTGCCCTCGACGTGTGAGTGCGTGTGCTCACATATTTGTGCCTGCAGGAACGAGCATTAGCTCTTGAACCCCGCCTCAGCCGCCTCCTGTCCAATAATGCATGACTCCTGGTCCATTGCCTTATCATATTTACTTTTAAAACTACTTCTTTAGTTCATTTCATTTTCCCACTATTCTTAAGCTAAAAGAAAAGTTCCTAACATCTCTGACTCATCTGTATCTCAAGCTTCCATCCACGCCGTCTTGTTTCATTGGGATTTATTTTGAACATCTCTCTATTTTCAAGTCTGTCAGTCACCTAAGTATTTTATAAGTCTCCATCATATATCCTGTCTCCTTTTTTCTAGAGGCGCCAGGTCTAGTTCTTTCAGTCTTTCCCCATCTCTCGCGATTCCGCAATAGGCCTCATTGCTAACATCTGAACCTCTCCTATTTTATAGGGAATGAGCACAGAGAACGGTACGGAGACCTTGTGGGACTGAGCACAGAGAACGGTACGGAGACCTTGTGGGACTGAGCACAGAGAACGGTACGGAGACCTTGTGGGACTGAGCACAGAGGACGGTACGGAGACCTTGTGGGACTGAGCACAGAGGACGGTACGGAGACCTTGTGGGACTGAGCACAGAGAACGGTACGGAGACCTTGTGGGACTGAGCACAGAGGACGGTACGGAGACCTTGTGGGACTGAGCACAGAGGACGGTACGGAGACCTTGTGGGACTGAGCACAGAGGACGGTACGGAGACCTTGTGGGACTGAGCACAGAGGACGGTACGGAGACCTTGTGGGACTGAGCACAGAGGACGGTACGGAGACCTTGTGGGACTGAGCACAGAGGACGGTACGGAGACTTGTGGGACTGAGCACAGAGGACGGTACGGAGACCTTGTGGGACTGAGCACAGAGGACGGTACGGAGACCTTGTGGGACTGAGCACAGAGAACGGTACGGAGACCTTGTGGGACTGAGCACAGAGGACGGTACGGAGACCTTGTGGGACTGAGCACAGAGAACGGTACGGAGACCTTGTGGGACTGAGCACAGAGGACGGTACGGAGACCTTGTGGGACTGAGCACAGAATGCTCCAAATTTAGCTAACTTGCTTAGTAAAATGAATTTTGGGGTTCAGTCCCTGAGCCCATTATGTGCCTCTGTAACCTTATCCCCTACCGCCCACAAGATGGGTATGGGGTGCATAATAAATACACTAAACTATTTTTCAATTCAATTTATGCTTTTGATCTCGATTAGTATTAAGTTTTAAACTAACTTTATTTGTTCCCTCAACTTGCCCTAACATTCTGCGTATGAGTGGCTTTAGGCATTGTATATCTATCTAGAAATAGATAGCTCTATCTATAAATCTATGTAGCTCCATCTAGAAATCCAACATTATGTTTGTAGACCAGACCACACACTAGAAGGTGAAGGGACGACGACGTTTCGGTCCGTCCTGGACCATTCTCAAGTCGATTGTGAGAATGGTCCAGGATGGACCGAAACGTCGTCGTCCCTTCACCTTCTAGTGTGTGGTCTGGTCAACATACTTCAGCCACATTATTGTGACTCCTCGCCTGCTTATATTTGTAATTCACAGTCAAAGTATGTATCTTTACCCGAACTTGTGTAGAATAATATTCTGAACACTGTCATCCTGGGCGGTAATAGTTATTATAAATCATGAATGTTCACACTTCAATAAGTTAAATTGACTTAATTTGTCATTAACGAGTAATATCTTAAGTCAACTGAAAGCAAATATTTAATATCATCCAGTGTTGTGTCAGGAAGTTTGGGTTGTTGGGTTTGTTAGTCTGTTATTGTATATATTGTATATTGTAGTTGTGGAGCGGCTATTAACAGTTCTTGACTGACGGACGATTACTACTTCACTTCCGACGGTGGCCCCTCTTGCAGGGGCTGTGGTGCCTTCAGATGTTCAGCTTGCTCCCGCTGGTGTCCCTGATGGTCCCGTGGGTCTTCCAGTGGATCTCTGTACGTCGTCTCCGTCTTCTCCACCTGCTGCGCATGCCCCTGCGCCCTCGACATGTGTCTCGGCTGTGCTGGGGTGGATACAGGGCCTCCATCTGTGCCCGGCTTGGTACCCCATGTGGTTGAGGATGCTGCCGTCCTGCGGAGAGCGTCGGTTCGCACGGCTTGTGATGCCCGTGTCTCTGGGTCGGCCTCTGGATCTGATGATGTGCGGCCAGAGCCCAAGCGTTCCCGGCGTTCTTCTTCTGCCTGGGCTGAGTGGGAGATTTCGACGGCGATGGCGGTGAGGTTCCGGTTGCGTCCCATTCTTCGGTAGTGGCGGAGGTCCATGTGCCTGCGGCTGCCTGTATAGATGTTTCTTCTGGTGAGGTGCCTGTGGAGGCTGCTTCCGGTGCGTCGCCTGCGTCGGGTGGTTCCGGTTCTGCGTCGGGGGTGGTTCCTCCTGCTGGTGAGCGTGGTGACCTGGTGGTGGTGGTGTTAAAGAAGACTGCTCCCTCTGGGGGTTCCGTGTCCCCAGTTTCGTCCCTTGGCTCATCGGCGGCGGTTTTGCAGCTTCTCCCGTCTCCGACCGTCTCTACTGCGTCTCCTGCGGTGTCGGGTGTGGGGTTACCGCCTCGGTGGCCTTCGTCGTCTTCTCCTGTGCGTCCGGCGGCGGGACCGTCTCGGAAGCTTACGTCCGCTTCTTCCTTCGCTCTGCCTTACCTCGTTATGCGACTACTGCCACCCTGCTCCGAGTGCTGCCACTTCCGCCTGATCTGGTGCTTCCCGAGTTTATGCCCGCCCCCTGAGGCAGGGGGACCGTTGTCCTACCGACAGGGAGTACTTAGTGTGGGAAGCCTATAAGCAGAAATATCCTCTGCATGAGTTTCCTGAGAAATATTAGCCATTGACGTGTTTCCTCCTTTTAAGTGATTTTTTTTTTTGTGTGTGTGTGTGTGCTATGTGTTGTGGTGTTGTGTCCATTTGTGTGCGAGGGGTGCGGTTGCGTGCGTGCGTGCGTGGGAGTATTTAATTTAATTTGTTGTTATGTATTTGTACCTCTCCGTGTGGGTTTTGGGGCCAGTAGGCTTGTTTTGTGTTGTTTCAAGGGTTAGGTTGTTGGGTGCGGGTTTGGGTACTTTGTAATTGTACTGCTGTGCTTATTGTTTTTATTGTTGGCCCTTCAGGCCCATCTTTTCTGTATTTGGTAATTTCTAACTTTGTGCTTTTGTGATTAGTGCTTTTGTGATCTGTTTACCTTGCGCATGCTTGCCTGTGTACGCTCAGCGCTGAACGACAAGTCTTGAACTGTTCTTTTTCAACTATCTTGCATTATGTTTGGTTTTTGTTGTCGGTCCTTCAGGCCGGTATTTACTGTATTTGTCTTTGTATGTGTTGTGCTTTTGTATTTGTGTTTGTTTGTTCTTGTTTTATTGTATTTATTCGCATGTACGCATGTCAAAATAAAAATAAAAAAAAATAAAAAACTTCACTGCCGATTATATTGCAAATGTTGCTCTGTTGTATCTGTTGTTCTGTTGCAACATTTACAATAGAATGTTGTATTTGGTTTGTGAATTAGATTTTTAAATGAACAACTTGAAACACTGAAGCTGGGGACCATTATTGGTACATTAGAGACTCGTTCGTATTTGTGGAAGTGAAGGAGTGGTTGTTGGCCATTGTTAATTGACACTTGAGACTCGCAGAATGTTAACCAATGGGGGTGAGTTTTAGGGCGAATGTCAACCAATCAGCGGCCGGGTTTGGTTGACTGCTGGGTATAAAAGGAAGGATGAGGTACATAGCACTTCAGTGTTGTTTTACCTCACTTTTGGTATACAGTTCAGCTTCGTCTCTTGAAGGTGAGCTGTATGGTGAGGATCCTCCCCTCTTCCCCCCTTTGTTGCGTCTCCCCCCCCCCCCCATCCTCAGGTTAACAGAAAAATTATAACAGGTTAACGGAATAATTCGTCCTGACCATTGCACCTAAGATTATTACCGGTGGTTCATAGTGGTACAGTTGTCAGCGCCCCGGAGGTCTTCACAAGGTGGTCACAAGCTTGACAAACGCGCCGTTAGTAAAAGCAGTCCGATGCTAGTCTCCGGACACTTCCCCCACAGTGGCTTGCTCTAGTAGTTCAGAGAGTTGTAGTTGGGTAATGTCTAGTATAGCAAAGTACGGTGACTCCTCCAGTTACTTGGGGCACTAACACTTATCAACTGTGTATTAAACTTTTTTAGTGTAAAAATTGGTAGCTAAGTTTTTAGCAGTAAAACTTTTATAGAAATGTGTAGCATTAATGAATCTTGTAAAAAAAAAAAAAAAAAAAAAATTGGCAACCTCTCCCATTCCGCAAAAAGTCTGCCTTTGTTTTGATTAATCTACAAACGTCAGTTGCCTAAAACCCTAGCCTATAGGCTTAATGTTTTAGTATCTTGGATAGTACTAATTTAAGTTAACATTTAATTTTGAAACTAATTTCTTAACTTAATCGTGTAATTATTACAAAGAAACTCTTCAATGTAACTTTGCTTGCCTCATTAACCCTGACGCAAGAACAGTTGTCTAAATGCACCGTCTTAAATTTGTATAACTTTTCAGATAACAAAGTTGCTGCTGAAAATACTGGCGTGGGATCTCTGGGACCCTCCACGTGGCCCCAGACGGCTCCCTGGTGGCGGTCTAAAGTCTGCTGAGCCAAACCAGTTGTCTGCACCAGTTTGTCGCCTCTGCCTTCCCAAGAGTTCAGGGAAAGTCTCTACAATTCTCCAAACACCCTAACCTGTTCACAACTAATTGCTTTACAGTCCCATATTACGTCCACAGTTCTCAAAGCGGCACCCTTGTGCTTCCAACCTTTAACTCATTTTAAGTTTCCCAGCTTCCCTCGGCCTCTACCCCAGCCTCGACCACATCCCCAGCTTCCGTTGGTCACTGCTAAAGTCTCTCGGCCTTCAAGGCCACATCAAACTCGACACTTCATCCTGTGGAATACCTGTTAACGTGGTAAGTAAATGTTCGTTTGATCTATGGGATATTCTGTATCCCATAGATCAAACAGTAATGTGATTAGAGTACCAAAGATGCAGATTTAGGGTCCTGAACATTGTTTATTTTGTTCCCTTTTTAAAGAATTTATCTAATTTAATTTTGAACATTTTCAGATACATGAAGAGAGCTGGGAAAGGCTTCTCATGGTGCGTGAATAAACTTTACAGCTTGGATAGAGCAAAATCTTACTGCTAGTGTTAGCAGAGGCTTCCAGCTAATTAGCATTAAACACAAGAATAAGTTAGACTTCATAAGGTGCGTTATCGGCAGAAGTGAGTTTACTTAGTGTTATAATTTATTGAAATAAATGTGAAAGTAACTTAAAATATAGCAAACATGCTGGACTAAGATTTGTTAAATGGCCAAGAGTGTTTAAAACGTAATTTGTCAGGTGTGGAGGAGCGGTAACGAGGCAGGAGGACCTGGAGGTGGTCATCCTGGTCCACTGTCCTTCACCAACTGGTCTCTCGCTGCAGGGTCAGTATGGCTCTTTACTTTATTAGTCTGGATGGTAGTTAATCCTCTGGGTGGTAGTGACTAGTTGTGTACCCTGTAGGCGGTAGTGAAGGTTGCTAGTGTCTAACGGAGGCGTAATTTACTGTTTTTACGTAACTTTAACAAAAAATTGTATTAGTTGGTAATTTTTAAACCTGATATTCCTAATATTAACTTCCCCTTGTCCCACAGGCCTGAACCAATAATGGGGACCATTATTGGTTATTTAAATCCTCGAATGTCAACCAATCGGCGGCAGAGTTGAGTTGGCTGCTGGGTATAAAAGGACGAGACAAAAAGCACTTCAGTGTTTTACCTCACTTTTGGTATACAGTCCAGCTTCGTCTCTTGAAGGTGAGCTGTATGGTGAGGATCCTCCCCAACCTCACCTCTTTGTTGCGTCCCACACCCCCTCCCCCTAGTATCCCATACTGGAACTATTGTGGTAAATGGGGGGGGGGGGAACTCTTACTTCAGGTTTTCCTTGGCCCATTGCAGGTTGGGTTGAGTGGACATAACGGTGCGTGTGGCACTATAGCCGACCCCTAACTGGCCTGTGACGGTCCTCCACCCCACTTGTATCATGCCGGAGTCCAGCCCTTAACGTCTGACATTCAACCTTAACAATTCGGGTAAATATTAAAAACCTCTGAAAGTATACGATGGGTTAGTAGTTTTAACACTTTAAAATCAAAACTAAATATAAAACTAATTTTAATAACGTTACTACTTAAATTCAGAAGGCTAGAGATGTTCTAGTAATGTGTAACTAGTCAAATATTCTATAAACAATGAACCAGGAAATGTTAATGTTGGATTTGTTAATGTAGTTTTGTCATTACAATATAAAACTCATATTAATCGTAAAATTGCCTAAGAGTAACATTTCAATAGATTTATCATTCGTGATTTCAGTGTAGTTGTGTAAATAATTCTCTTAATATTACAGGTTAACGGAATAATTCGTCCTGACCACTGCACCTGAACTATAGTTACCAGTGGTTCATAGTGGTACAGTTGTCAGCGCCCCGGAGGTCTTCACAAGGCAGTCAAAAGCTTGACAAACGCGCCGTAAGTAAAAGCAGTCCGATGCTAGTCTCCGGACACTTTCCCAGTGGCTTGCTCTAGTAGTTCAGAAAGTTGTAGTTGGGGGTAATATGGCGTATGGCAAAGCACGGTGACTCTTCCAGTTACTTGGAACACTAACACTTATTAACTGTACATATAACAATAAGCTTTGTGTAAAAATTGGTAGCTAAAAGCTTTTAGCAGTCAAACGGTTACTACAAAAGTAATGATTCTTGTATAAGACTTTAGATTGGCAACCTTTCCCCCCCCCCCCCAAAAAAAAGTCCCTCTGTTTTGATTAATCTACAGACGTCTAGGTTGTCAAATTCTAGCCTTTAGGCTTAACAAATGTTTTACTATCTTGGATAGTAGTAATTTAACATCTAATTTAACATCTAATTTAACTTAAACTAATATCCTACTTAATTTTATCGTGTAATTATTAGAGATGTCAACTTTTCAATATAACTTTGCTTGACTCATTAACCCTGATGCAAGAACATGGTTAGTGCATTTGGACTTGTCTTAAATTTGTATTACTTTTCAGATGACAAAGTTGCTGCTTAAAATACTGACGTGGGATCTCGGACCCTCCACGTGGCCCCAGACGGCTCCCTGGTGGTGGTAGTCTTGGTCTGCTGAGCCAAACCAGTTGCCTGCACCAGTGTGTCGCCTCTCCCTTCCCAAGAGTTCAGGGAAAGTCTCTCCAGTTCTCCAAACACCCTAACCTGTTCACAACTAATTGCTTCAGATCCATATTACGTCCAGTTCGCTCATAGAGGCACCCTTGTGCTTCCAACCTTTAACTGCATTTAAAGTTTCCCAGCTTCCCTCGGCCTCTACCCCAGCCTCGACCACATCCCCAGCTTCCGTTGGTCACTGCTAAAGTCTTTCGGCCTTCAAGGCCACATCAAACTCGACACTTCATCCTGTGGAATACCTGTTAACGTGGTAAGTAAATGTTCGTTTGATCTATGGGATATTCTCTATCCCGTAGATCAAACAGTAATGTGATTAGAGTACCAAAGATGCAGATTTAGGATCCTCAACATTGCTTATTTTGTTCCCTTTAAAGAATTTTATGTAATTTGAATTTTTTCAGATAGATGAAGATGGCTGATAGAAACTTCCACTTCTCAAGGTGCGTGAATAATCCCTGCAGCTGGGATAAAGTAAACTCTTACTGCTAGTGTTCGCAGAGGCTTCCAGCTAATTACTATTGAAGACTAGGATACGGAAGACTTCATAAAGTGCGTTATCGACAGAAGTGTCGATAATACTTTTTGGTTATAAAATGTTGAAATACATGTGCAATTAACTTTAAATATAGCAAACATGCTGGACTAAAAATTATTAAATGGCAAAGTGTTTAAAACTACGTTATTTGTTGTCGGGTGTGATGCAGTTAATGTGGAGGAGCGGTAACGAGGCAGGAGGACCTGGAGGTGGTCATCCTGGTCCAGTGTCCTTCACCAACTGGTCTCACACTGCAGGGTCAGTATGGCTCTTAACTTTATTAGTCTGGATGGTAGTGGTACGCGCTACTCTGGGTGGTAGTTAATCCGTAGTTAATCCATAGTTAACTGGTAGTTAATCCTCTGGGTGGTAGTGACTAGTTGTGCACCCTATATGCATCCTGTGGGCGATAGTAAAGGTTGCTAGTAACTAAGGCTTAATTTACTGCTTTTACAAAACTTTAAAAAAATGCTAGTTACTAATTTTTAAACATTTCTAATATTAACTTAGTCTCGTCCCCCCCCCCCCCCCCCCCCCCAGGGCCTACGGCCGGACCTGTAATTGGACCGGCCAAGTACAGCCGGTTAAGAGGGCAACAACGAAGACAGTCTCTGCACTGGACATCTTCAACGACGGAATAAAGATGTACTACCCATCACCGGGTATTATCGGGCACTATCAGCGTGACGAAGTAACTAGGCATAGAACAGCTCTGCGAATCTGGACGATGGTACAAATGGTTGCAGCTGGGAATCGCAGTTATGGGTGAAGAGGTGGCCGCGGGAGAGTATCGGTAATAGCCAGAATCCATCTTGGATACAAATATCTATCTATGGAAACGCTTAAAGTTGAGTTGCAGAATCTGTGACAGATACCACCTTGACCACTACCCGAGAGAATATGAACACCTGAGACATATTAGAAATGTGTAGAATAATAAACCCCACATTGTTTGAGTTGGGAAAACACTATTTGTCAAATATTGATACTGTTCTTAAAAGATTCCCCCGTTTTGTACCAGCAAGATGACGTAAGATTTTTAAGGGTTGACATGTTAATTTTCTTGTTTGAAGAGCTGTTCACTTTAGTCCCAGCTGCGTCTGGGTACAAGTGACAGGAAGAACACCCCAACGCGTTGTCTTTATTGTAATGTTGTACATGTCACTATGGCGTGTGTGTCCACTCACAGGATGAGTGGCGCTGCCCAATACTGTCACTATGGCGGTGTGTCCACTCACAGGATGAGTGGCGCTGCCCAATACTGTCAATGGCGGTGTGTCCACTCACAGCGCCCCAATACTGGGCGCAAAACGCTAACTTACTATTTGGCGCTGCCCAAAAACTCGCCCCTCGTCGTCACCACTTGGTTTTCTGATGACGCCTCGCGCTCATTCTTGAATTTAAATACTAAATTGCTACCTCAAACGCTAGTTTTTATCCTACCTTTATTTACTTGACATTGTACCCAGCAGTACAAATCACTTGTCAAGGCCTGGTCTCTGACTAGACTGATGCTGCTATCCTGAACCCATAGCCCGGATGATGGTCTAGTCTGGAGGTGTTCATAGACCTCAGAATCTAATTCCCAACTAGACTGACTCCTCCCCTCTCCATACCCCACCTTCCACATATCTTGCATTTAATGCTATTGCAGCTAGACATTATGGGTGGTAAACTTGTCAGGACTCGACAGTACCAAGTCTCTACGCCCTCGGGAGGACAGCCCTACTACAGTTAACCTTGTCTTAACATTCAAAAAGGGGCTATAAAACGACCCATTAGCTCTAAAAGACGACCTGTAACAGGTTACACAAGTCTGCAGAGAAACGAAGCTGACCTGCAGAGGCTTAGTTTCCCGTTACACCATAACATTGAACTGACCTGGTTAATACTTGCACCTTCCTATCTCTCCAGAACCACAAGTGTTTTCCTCGGACCTTTCCTGTGGGTTCCCAGATCACCCTCAGGATTGTGTAATAAGAAATTGGGCTTCGGCTCTCTGCTCCCGCCTCTTGACTATCAGTCTACTGGTTTACAGATTCTTGAGCCCCTCGGGCTCTAATATCTACATTTTAAACTGTATTGTCGCCTGTACCACATCACTGCCAAATGCATTCCATCTGTTGACTACCGACTGAAATCTATAAAATGTGGTTCTCCCAACCACTTGGGCTGGACGGTAGAGCGACGGTCTCGCTTCATGCAGGTCTGGGTTCAATCCCCGACCGTCAAAGTAGGACACCATTCTCCAACCCCCCCCCTCCCATCCCAAATGCTTATCCTGACCCTTTCCCAGTGCTATATAGTCGTAATGGCTTTGCGCTTTTCCCTGATAACTTCCTCATTTGCACAGTTTCTACCTGGTCCCCCTCCCCCCTTGTTAGTGTTCCATGATAGTTTTGTCCAGTCAGACATGATCACTTTAAATTCTCGTCTTCCGTGGACGTGTCTTTTACTTCCCGTAACCTTTCCTCGTTAGTAATACCTCGACGTTTGTGCCGTGTGCCTCAACAGTATCTGGGTTATCTTGATGCTTTCGGGGCTTAGCGTCCCCGCGGCCCGGCCCTCGACCAGGCCTCTTGTTAAACCCAGGAAGCAGCCCGTAGCTGTAACTCCCAGGTACAGTATTTACTACAAGGTAAGAGGGACATCAGGGGTTAAAGAAACTACCCATCTGTTTCCGCCTCCACCGGGGATCGAACCTCAACTACGAATCCGAAGCACTGTCCACTCGGCTGTTAGGCCCCTTACTGTGTTCTGGGACTTGTTCCTTGTATTGGGCTGGATGTGAAAGTGACGTATGTAGACGGATATTCTTATGCAGTGAACGGCTGAAGTTTGTTAGCCGTACAGACACCAAGTCTTATTCGGGATAAGGCTGTTCGTGAGGCTAAATATTCTCTCAGCCACGGAAGCATAACATTTGGCGAGTCTGATGCCTTTGATCTCGCGTTCCTACATTGTCATCGTTCCTTCTGAAGATCCAAAGAGTTTCGCGTTCTCTCCCCAGCCTGGTACCGCCCTCGAGAATTACTTGCCCTCTTCTGGTGTATGGATTAAGACTGGTAACTTGTGATTACCTAGAGAGCCACCACCTCCCCGTCGAGGCAGTTCCATTCCAAATTTGTATAACTAAATTGTGCCGACAGTTTCATGCGTTTAAAACCCTATGGGGGTGAAGTCTCGTGCTTCAAGCACTTGGTCCAGTGTTACGCACAGTGGCCTTCATGTATGTAAAATACTGAAGTTGGAGCACAAGATCACTCCTGTTAGTCACGTGGCTCAAACTTAAGGACTATACTAAAGTTTAAGTGTTTTTTCCTACCTGAAACGCTTTGCATAATGGCTTTAGGCATTGTATGTACTAGCTCTATAAATCCATCAATGTTTGTATCATGTATGTACTTTACCTAAATAAAAAGTTAAATTTTACTAATCTGCATGTACAAATTGGTTGATACTTTCATACCTCTAATTCTTTGATATAGAAACAGGCGAATACAGCAGTAAATGATATCAATAGTTTGCATAACCACGTTCTTAAGTTTTGTCCTACTGTCTCGTATTTATTCAAGACAATTTTTAAATGGACAAGCAAACCAAAAATTAAGTGACATACGTCTCACAGCTTTCTCCCAAGAGATCAACGGTACTGTTCATTTTTTTTAGCTCTTACGAAACCATGTCAACAGCATCAGATGGAAAACGTAGCTATACAGAGACTAGTGGAACAAGATCTTTGAAAGACAGAAGTTGCTGGGATTAATGGCGTCAACAATAAGGGCAGAAGACCAGCGGGAGTGTTCACATTACTTCACCGTTCAGTAACGGAGAAGATGTTACTTACCCGTTACGGACCGGGGAAGTAACACCTTCCCAGGTGTTACTAGGGAAGGTGGTGACCACCTTCACAGGTACGGTCCAACCACCTGTACCCTTGTACCAGGACGTCAACATGCGGGTCACCGCCCATCAGTGGCTGGCCACACACTAATCAGTTAACTTACAGTAATCTAACTCACAAGGGTGACGCTGCTCTTGTTGCCAGACCATTTGTGGCATACTCGCATATTAGATATTTTTAACGTAGTTCCCTTCCCTTGGTGAATTTCTATCAGAAACGCCAAGCCATTACAACTATATAGCACTGGGAAGGGGTCAGGATGGGACGAGGGGGAAGGAATGGTGCCCAACCACATGGACCAAGTAAAAATGATATTACTAATGTAAAAATCTTTGTGCACATAATTAAAACCTGGAGATAGAACAACCTCAACACTGGACGTGTCTGCAGCAGTTTAATATTTGGAACAAAAAAGTGCATCTTTCTAAAGTTTCTAATGGAAATGTTTAATGTCTAAAATTTCATGGAAAACCGTTTTTGTCCCCCCCCCCATTATCTTCCTAAAACTAGAAAGTTCAGTGTCATCTACAAGTCATTTATGGCGGGTAGAAGGAAGTTAATAGTTTAGAGATGTATTAATAATACCGGGTCTGTATAAAATTTACTTCTGTAGATTGAATAATTAGGCAACTAAGGAAATCATTTAGTTGCGTTTGTTGCCCAATTGGTATTGAGTTTACATAACAAGTTTACATATATTTCAGAACACTGGAAAGTCAACCAGCGTTCAAGTTTTTTCCAGATACTAACTCTGCCGAAGACAAGTAATTATCAAAAGGCACCAAGCCGGGAAGGCCATGTAGCACCATCAAATGTGCCAAAGACTAAAGTCTTTGATGGTATGTACTGTCAGTTACCCAACGAGGCCCAAAATCTTGCCACAACCAGGTTGTACAAGTAACCCATTTACACTTTGGTCTGTACTGGAGGGGGGGTGGCGGGGAAGAAAGGATACTTTTGTACATACTATGGTACACATCTCTTTCCCCCCCCCCCCCCCCACTCCCTGCATTGTTTCAATGTCAGACCATTGTGACATTGAAGTCTCAAGCAACCCTTAACCGAAGAGTTTAGGATTTAATCATTCCCCTGCCAAAAATTAAAGTATATGTACACTAACGACACTTTAGGTCATAAGTGACAAAGTACCGAGACCTATTAGTCAAGGTATTCAAGAAGATTGTGCGCTAGTTTAAGCTTTAATATTTTACAACTTTACCATTCAGTAAACCAAGACTTTTCTAGTAACAATATCAAAGGCTTGTGTCACAGATGACATACTTCACGTGGTGTAATGTGGCGCCACTTCCTGCCGTTGTTACATATTCTTCAGTACCCCCGAGAGTCCTCGTCACCTTCCCCGAGGTCTGGCTGGGGTCGCCCGAGCCTGTGGACGGAAGAAACACTAACAACCATTAAATTCCTTATTGTAAAGTTATCTTTTAAGTTTTACAGACTTCCCTACAGCCGATGAAGCCCTTTCTATTAACCTGCACTTACAAAGTCTACGCAACACCCCGTATGTTATGACAATTTGAGCTGTATGACAAAGTAAAACGAGCCATACTGACCTTAAGGTGTCAGACCAGTTGTTGAAGGACAGTGTACTCTGATGACCACCTCCAGCACGTCTTGCCTCGCTCCTTACCGCTTGTCTACACGAACTGGATCTTGCCTAATAAAATATCTAAATATTAGGTAGTTGTAGACAAACTTTTAGCCACATAGTAAACTATTTTAGTTCAGCAGGATAACCGTTCTCCATGTTTAATGCACATTTCAATAATTTATAACACCAAGTAAAACTCACCTCTGGCGATAACGCACTTTATGAAGTCTCGTATCGTTGTGTATACTAACTAGCTGGAAGCTTCTGCCAAGACCAGCAGCAACAGTTTGCTTGATCCCAGCTGAAGGGAGTGCTCACTCGCCATGAGGAATAATACTTCTTACCAGCCTTCGTTTCACGCATCTGAAACAAAAACTAAATTATTCTAATTTTACCAAGAGGGGACCAAATAAGACTCATGCTGAGGAGTCCAACCTGCACCTTGGGTACTCCAAACACATCACTGGTGCGATCTATGGGTTTTAGAGTAACTAGTAACTGTTGGACGTTATATTGAACCGAGAAGAAACTAGTTTGAAACCGATTAGTGTCTTTAGAGAACGGCACACACACGCAGGAACGCACACGCATGCGCACGCTTCGAGTTCCAGTACGGGGAACCAGCGGGAAGCGAGGGTAGAACTCAAGAAGGGGGGGGGGGGGAGAGGAAGGGGGAGACACGCACCAAGTGGAGGGCAAGGGGGGTGGGGGAGGCAGCAAGTGGAGGGCAGGGAGGGGGTGGGGGAGGCAGCAAGTGGAGGGCAGGGAGGGGGTGGGGGAGGCAGCAAGTGGAGGGCAGGGAGGGGGTGGGGGGGGGAGGCAGAAAGTGAAGGGCAGGGAGGGGGGTGGGGGAGGCAGAAAGTGGAGGGCAGGGAGGGGGGTGGGGGCAGGCAGAAAGTGGAGGGCAGGGAGGGGGTGGGGGAGGCAGGGGCAGGGAGGGGGTGGGGGAGGCAGAAAGTGGAGGGGGAGGGGGTGGGGGAGGCAGAAAGTGGAGGGCAGGGAGGGGGTGGGGGAGGCAGCAAGTGGAGGGCAGGGAGGGGGGGGGAGGGGAGGATCCTCACCATACAGCTCACCTTCAAGAGACGAAGCTGAACTGTATACCAAAAGTGAGGTAAACCAACACTGAAGTGCTGTGTACCTCATCCTTCCTTTTATACCCAGCAGCCAACCAAACCCGGCCGCTGATTGGCTGACATTCGCCCTAAAACTCACCCCCATTGGTTAACATTCTGCGAGTCTCAAGTGTCAATTAACAATGGCCAACAACCATTCCTTCACTTCCACAAATACGAACGAGTCTCTTATGTACCAATAATGGTCCCCAGCTTGTGTTTCAAGTTGTTCATTTCAAAATCTAATTCACAAACCAAATACAACATTCTATTGTAAATGTTGCAACAGAACAACAGATACAACAGAGCAACATTTGCAATATGCAATTAGTCATTTAAGTTTTTCATGCCCGAAACGCTTTGCGTAATAGTGGCTTTAGGCATTGTATGTACTAGCTCTATCTATAAATCCATCACTCTTTGTAAAATCTCTTGTATGTATGTACCTTACCTAAATAAACATTTGATTTGATTTGATTTGATATAATCGGCAGTGAAATAGTAATCGTCCGTCAGTCAAGAATTGCTAATGGCCGCTCCGCAACTACAATATACAATATATTTATTTATTTATTTATTTATTTATTTATATATATACAAGAAGGTACATTGGGATTGTGAGGATACATAGCATAGTAATTACATTCTTGTAAAGCCACTAGTACGCGCAGCGTTTCGGGCAGATCCTTAATCTAAGAAAATTTTAAGTAGGTAAATACTAGCATAATTTATAAAAATTATAACAGTTACATAGCATGAAAAAAATAAAAGATTAGAGAAAATTGTAGGTATATTAAAGCACATAGGTAGATCAGATTGATTGCAATGACAGCTTGAATGGTACTTTTAACAAAAATTAGTAGGCACAGTACAGCATATGGCTAGCACATAAAAGACGACAGCAGTGAACACAATATACAATAACAGACAACTACAATATACAATAAATACAATAACAGACTAACAAACCCAACAACCCAAACTTCCTGACACAACACTGGATGATATTAAATATTTGCTTTCAATTGACTTAAGATATTACTCGTTAATGACAAATTAAGTCAATTTAACGTATTGAAGTGAGAACATTTATGCTCTATAATAACTATTACCGTCCAGGATGACAGTGTTCAGAATATTATTCTGCACAAGTGTCGTCCTCGACGATCACCAGGTGACGCTCCTCGAGGCTCCTCTCGTCTTCAGAACAAAACTTCCCGTCACCTTCCTCGCTCTTCCTGTCTCCGTCTCCCCCAAGGTACTCCTCGAGCGCCTGGAGTATAAGTCTCAAGACGAGTCTTATAGGATGTCAGACGGTTCCCAGCTCCTTCCTACACGCCCTCTACAGCTCCAGCCTCTTCAGTTCTGCCTGTTAAAGCTGTATGTTTACCTGGAGATTTATAAGGTTATAACTGTCTTATGGTAACCTCCACCTCAGACGACCACAGCCAGGCAGTAAGGAAGGCAACTAAGACCGTCTCGGGGCACTAAAGAACATCATCTCAACCAGTTTAAGAGTAGAACTAAGTACTACCTAATTAACTCATGTAACCTACCTTACCCCCTAAATGTCTACCCATGTCTTGTTATTTTAAACAATGTTGTTTGTTCACCAACTTGTACAATGGCTCATTTCTGCCATGTCCCCCCCCCCCCGTTTATTTTTTATTCCTTTTTTCAACACAATTTATACCTTAATCCCAATTACTATTAAGTTTTAGTCTAAGTGGGTTTATTTCCCTCACACCTTGCCCGAAACGCTATGCATATTAGTGGCTTTAGGTTTTGTATGTACTAGCTCTGTCTATAAACATTTTGTTTGTAAAACTTCATCTATGTACTTTTCCTGAATAAGAAATTGAATTGAATTGAACTGAATCTACAACGACGAGATAGAGTAACGTGACATTGCCTCTCACCACGGCAAGTCTGTCACGTGACACCAGCCTCTGATGTTGATGCCTCTACAGCCTCTCGTCGGTCTTACCTCTCAAGTCTACCTACTTGGGAACCTGTACACTGAACATTGCTGCCTTCAACACTGCCAGTGTATCCTCAGGATGGGTAATATAGGGTCCACAACTAGTCACTCGATGTCTATGGGGTTCAATACCACCCGTAGGATGAGTATGGGGTCCACTTCCACCCCTAGGATGAGTATGGGGTCCACTACCATCCCTAGGATGGGTATGAGTCCATTACCAACTGTAGGATGTTAATGAGGTCCACTACCAACTGTTGGGTGAGTATGGGGCCCCACTATCGCTCACAAGATGGCTACGGGGTCCAGTAACGCCCATAGGATGGGTATGGGGCCCACTACCGCCCACAGGAAAGATATGGGGTCCAGTACCGCCGACAGGAAAGATATGGGGTCCACTACCGCCCACAGGAAACGTATGGGGTCACAGTACCTCCCCACATCTATGCGGTAGTGGACCCCATAGCCATTCTGTGGGTGGTAGTGGGCGGTACACCATATCCATCCAACAGGTGGAAGTGGACCTCATACCTATCCTTTTGGGTGGTCGTGGACCTCATAAACATCGTGTGACTTGTGGACCCTATATCCATCCTGTTTGCAGTAGTATACCCCATAGATAATTCAACGTCATATCGTTTTCAATTGACGTTCCTACAACTTTTTTTGTGGGGGGGGGGGGTTAAAGAAAGGTGATAGGTGAAAGGAAGTATAGAAGTGGGAAATACAGTGAGAGGTATGAAAGCAGGTGGACTGTCCGCCTTGCTGACATGATGTGTGGGTGTTGGCAGCTAAGCTAAGCTGGCTCTCTCGTCAGGAAGCTGTGAGTGTGTAAGAGATTCACCACAATATACCATTATTGTATATAATGTTTACCGAAAACATCATTGTTATAATTTATAGTGCTTATTATAATTTACCGAGAAGCACCACGATTTCTCCTAAGTGCTAACCTTTAACAGGATGCACTGTAGAATAGTGCTTTAAATCATGGGTTGAAACATTAGTTAACACAGAATGGAGACTTATTATATATATAATTTTTTAACTATTTTCAGTAAAGAGTAAACTATTTCAATAAAGAAAGCATTCATCAGTGAACAGCTATCATCTTCACTGACGGCTTCATTACAATCTTAATTAAGCCTTAAAATCATAATACTAAAATAAGGAGCCGTAGGTGGTAGCTATGTATACCATAGGTGAATTATAAATCTTAATTAATAATTGTAATAATTATTTAACTGCCTCACGTCAACTAGATTTTTCTTAATTTTCTCGGAATACTGCTGCTCTGAAGAAGGGTATTCCCTGGTACTAAAGGGAATACACGCAATATGTCACAAGTGATACCATCCTTGGTATCACCCATAAGTGATACCAAGACGCCTGATAGCCGAGTGGACAGCGCTTCGGATTCGTAGTCCTGAGGTTCCGGGTTCGATCCCCAATGGAGGTGGAGACAAATGGGCAAAATGTTTCTTTCACCCTGATGCCCCTGTTACCTTGCAGTAAATAGGTACCTGGAAGTTACACAGCTACTATGGGCCACTTCCTTGGGGTGTGTAACAAAGAGGAGGCCTGGTCGAGGACCGGGCCGCGGGGACGCTAAACCCTGAAAGCATCTCAAGATTACCTTAAGATCCTCACCGGGGGATGTGACTTTACCTTTGTTTACCTTGTTTTGCTTTACCCACTTCTCATGTTAGTTAGTACAATCATTTTAACTTGATTTTTATTGCTGGAGCATTGTTATTTACATGGAAGTAAGTAAGTAATTATCAAAAAGGCACCGAACCAGGAAGGCTATGTAGCACTATCAAATGTGCGGAATAATCAGGGGGCACTAAATATCACCAAGGATGCCAATACAACAACAGAAACGCATAAGGAGAACGATATCAAAAGTATCCGACTCGCCAAGAATTCTATCGAGGGACAAATGACCGCGAGGGGCGGTCGGAAGGCAAGACACGCGCTCGTCTTGGAAGTCAGGACATTCAACAAGGATATGTATGACGGTAAGTGAGAGAACGCAATTTGGACAATAAGGAGCTGAGTGGCGCTCCATTAAGTGACCGTGAGTTAAGCGAGTATGGTCAAGACGCAACCGCGCTAGAGCCGTTTCCCACCGCCGGTTACGGTGGCAGGAGGAAGGCCACGGGGACACACAACACTTACGCAGTACGCAGTTTGTTACCAACAACAGAAGACCAACAACCCTGCCAACGGGCAAGGATGGAGGAATGAATAACCGGATAAAAGTTGGAAAAAGGAATATCTTTACGGGAAATGGGACAAGAGCGGATAGCCTCCCTAGTGGCAGCATCTGCACGCTCATTTAAAGAGACACCGTCATGGCTGGGAACCCAGCAAAGCTCCACGGATTTAAATTGACTAGATATAAGAAACAGCCAATGTTGAATCTCGACAACCACCAAATGAACAGGATTAAAGAACCCGAGAGCCACGAGAGAACTACGAGAGTCAACGACACTCGCAAAGGAGGATGGAAGTAAGTAATTATCAAAAGAAGGCACGAAGCCGGGGAGGCTATGTAGCACCGTCAAAAGTGCCGAAAATTCAAAAGGTGCTAGAGATCACCAAGGATGCCAATACGAGAACAAAAGTGCACAAGGTGAATATCAAAGGCATCCGATTTACCAAGGATACTATCGAGGGACAGGTGACCGCGAGGGACTATTTAGATGCAAGAGAAGGTGGTAGATGTTGATGGTTTGGGTTGACTGAAGTGGAGATTAATGGTGAGGAGCCAGGTGCAGGTGCTTCATTTCCAGGTTTGAAGGAAGCCTTTGGGAGAGCAGAGAGAAAAAGAGTTCTCTTCGTTTCTTTGCAAAAGCTCCATACGTATATTGTATATGCTCATCATCGCTCTAATGTCACACTCGATACTACTTGTTTCCACAGTCAAGAAAGCCTTCAAAATATATCTATGTTTTCCATATTACCTTTTTCCTTTAAAACTTCCAAGTCATCATCCTCATCTTAATTTTCCCACTCCAATTTTATTTCTATAACTAAATTTATAATTTCGTCATCAGTCACATTTTGAAAGCTTGAGGCATCTTCGTCCCTTATCTATGTCGTCATCTAGTGTTTGACCCCAGTTCTGCTCTCCTCTCAGTTCTCACAACTTAATTCCTCTGACATTGGCTAGAAGTTCTTTTTTCTTTTAATTTTTCTTCTCGCAAACGTTCTTGGGCCCAAATCCTTCAAATCTGCCTTATCTTCCTCAGGAAACAGACCTGATGCAGGCCAAAGTTTTCTCCAGTCATTTCTTATTGTTGTTAGCTTTACTTCATCCCATACATTGGCAACAGCACTGAAAGTGATTAAGATGCTTTAATCTTAAAAGCTCAGGTTATAGTTACATCACATACAGTACATAGTATAACTGATGCACTACATAGTCAATCTTGGGAATAATATCAAGTATATCATGTGTTCCAGTATTCAGATAGTACAGTAGAGTATTTACAAAGTTCAAAACATCTCAACTTGAGGGAGGGGCCAAAGTCAGTCAATATGGAACATTCTACAATATAATGCTCAAGGGAGTGCATGTTGAACATTATATTATAGAGTCCCATATTGTCACCTTTTGCCCTCCTGGGTTGAGATATGCTGAACTATGTTAACAGTACAGTACTGGAGCATCAAGTGCTCCAGTATTCAAACACAGTAGTATTTACAGAGTTCAGCATCTCAACCCAAGAGGGCAAAAGTCAGACAATATGGGACACTAATATAATGTTCAACATGCATTCACACTAACATTATGTTGTAGAAGGGCTTATAGTAACGATGAGGACCATAGCATATATACCGAAGTACAACGAAATTATAACATAGAAATCTGAACTATTAAGTTGGGCAAACTGGAAAGTTATTTTTTTACTTGTGTTTCTTTGACAAACTAAACTAACCTAACCTTTCTAACACAATATTTGAGGCCTAATATAGTACATGTGTGTGCTATACTAGGCTTAGTTTGTTTTTTAGCCTCATTTATTTTAAAAGAATTCCTTACTATTTAGTACTACTATCTAAAAGCAAAGTATGTACAAATTCGTGACTATTGACTATCATCACAATACCTACTATCTAAAGAGGGAGATGGGTTGGGAAATTTCACAAGAAAAAAAGGCATTGCAGATACATGGTGTATATTTTACTAAAATTCTTGTGATGCATTGTTTAAATTTATTTGGTAATATGTAACAAAAATGTATTATTTACAATGAAAATAATGTTTTGCTTTAGAACAGTATTACATATACTGGATAGAAAAATATATACAAACTAAAATAAAACTGCTCAATAGTGACAGCAAAAAATAATGTTAATCTAAATACAAGAGAATAACTTTATTCTAAATATGGTAGTCTTGTAGCCCCTTTCACCAGTCTCGTAATTTCAAGAAGCACAAAGCACTACACACACACACACACACACGCAGATACTATACAGGTTCTTCATAGTATATACATCTGAAGCTAATCTTTACACTTAATAACCATTCTCTGTTTTATGCATCAATTTATACTAAAGGACTGTGTAATTATATTGGATGAGAATATCAAGATGTAAGATTCACAAACTTCAAAACAAATTCTGAGTCGAGCAATATGGCATGGATGCAGGTGTAGGTGAAAGCTGTTCATTTTAACAAAATAAAAAGACATTAAAACCGTGTTAAAAAATTTTTGCACAGTTTCCCTTCATTAAAAGCTCCTGTGAACTGCATTCAGAACACCATCCACTATAAGCCATAAGGTTTTGCCTGTCTTGCTCTAATACTTCATTGATCATTAAAAATTTGAAATAATTCTACACTTTTTATTTATAAATTGTCTCAAACTCAAACATAATATGTAATGTGACATGTATTATTTCTATTCAACTAGAAATGAGTTACTTTTTCTGGGCCATCGTAAAGTGTTTTGAAGACACAGCCAAGAATATTTCAGTGATATTTTCAAGTGTAGGATTCACAACACCTTCATAAGCAAGTGCATTTTTTATAAACTGAACAATAAAAGTAGCATCCTTCCCCACTGTGGCCTTTGCCGCTCTATCAACATCAACACCATTATACAGTCTTTCTCTACTCAAAGGTAGTGCCGAAGCGTGGCTCAACAACGCTGCAGCTTCAGTGCTACCTTTCACTAACTTGTCTTTATAGCTACCTGTAGCACTCTCACTTAAAACTCGTAACTTTTCTGAAGCCATTTTAATAATTAAAGCATTATCTTTATCAGCAAGTACTTGAATAGCTGTGTGTGTGTTTGAACCCAAGTTTTTCATCTTCCGAATTATGAGCTTCAGAGCAGGAGCAAGAAAATCTAACAAGTCACTGAGTTCTAGAAGCAGCGCTAAAGTACTTTTCAATGAAAATTCTTTTGCTGGTAATGCTTTCACACCTTGAACATCTTTTTGTTGGGAGGTACTAACTACGGGCAAAATTTTATCTATGACTTGCAAATCTTCTGTGGTGTCTCCATCACCCTGATTATGAGAATTGGGACAACATGTAGCAACCTTTTCTGCAGGCATTTGCAAGGTAAACTCCTTCACAGATGGTGCCACCACAGTGCCTTCATAGTCAGGACCAGAACTGGACTGCTCGTCTCCATTATCTATACATGTAGACTTTTGACTAGTTATAATTTTGGAAGAGGACTCCAAAGGCCCTTCAAATGAAGTACTAGGGGTGGCTCTATAATGAGATTTGTCATCTGGATACTGCCTTGCTTTATTTGGTCTTGTAGCAGTTGCCTCCTTATTAGCTGCTGCTGCTTCAAACTGTTTAATTAACTTCTCTCTCTTCTGATTCCACTTTACCTCAAGCTGCTCAGTCACCACCTGCTCCCAAAATTCACGCCACAGTTTTTCACATTCCTTTGGGTCTTCATTTCCTGCATGCATCTCCTGGTATTTTGCCTTGAAAATTGCATATTTATCTTCATAACTGGGATGAGCCTCCGGCACCTCCAAGTAAGTTTGGCGGTCTATTTGGTGGTCTTTTCTCAACTCCTCCTCTGCAGCCAGGAAGAGTTTCATAGTTTCTGGATCAAAATTGGGGCTGAAATGAATAAAAATTAAATAGTCACCTGTACAAAATTAATTAAGCATATTATGTTCCTAAACTGTAAAAACAAATCACATTAACACTGCTCCGTTAATAAAACAGGTACAGAATGCTGTACCTGTACCTGTAAAACTTTCATGCTAAGTGTGTGCAGCTGGCCAGTGGCTGGACCTTGACAATGACTGTTTATAGTTTGAATCAGGGTTGCAAATATTTTCCAAGCAGTTGCATGTTTTGATGCATGCTACCTTTCTGAGGGCCTTTCCCTTTGGTAATGTAATTAATCTTGTATTCCCACTCCACGGTGCCTCTATTGAGGGTGAGGGAGGAACAGATTCTGCTCGTGGTCTCTAGCACACATTCATGATTTGTTAGTGCCTGGTTTGGTATCCAGATTTGAAGGACTGCAGGAGGGGAGCTCAGGATGATAGAGATAGTAACCCATCAAGAAATAAGAATACTTTGCATAATGCAAAGTTAGTCTGGATTTGAACCCCACACATCTGAAAATTTTGGTTCAAATTCTAAATTGCTAAATATTGGTTATAGTACAGTACAGTGGTACCTGCTTGAAATACTAATCCGTTCCCAGAGATGTGTCGCACATCAATATTTTTTAATCCAAAATTAATTTTGGATTAATTTTCAGATTCCAGTCCCCTTCCATCAATCCTATCCCTCTCTCTCTCCACCATCCATCCATCCAGTCCCTCTCCACCATCCATCCATCCAGTCTCCCCCCACCATTCATCCATCCAGTCCCCCTCCACCATCCATCCATCCAGTCCCCCCCCACCATCCATCCATCCAGTCTCCCTCCACCATCCATCCATCCATCCAGTCTCCCCCCCACCATCCACCATTCATCCATCCAGTCTCCATCCACCATCCAGTCTCCCTCCACCATCCAGTCTCCCTCCACCATCCAGTCCCCTTCCACCATCCATCCATCCAGTCCCCCTCCACTATCCATCCATCCAGTCCCCCTCCACCATCCATCCATCCAGTTCCCTTCCACCATCCATCCATCCAGTCCCCCTCCACCATCCAGTCCCCCTCCACCATCCATCCATCCAGTCCCCCTCCACCATCCATCCATCCAGTTCCCTTCCACCATCCATCCATCCACCCCCTATCCATCCATCCATCCAGTCCCCTCACCACCCAGTCCCCCACCATCCATCTTGGGACCCATGGCATGATATATAATAAGAACTTTACTGTTCAGAAAACAAAAAAGTAGAAAACAATTAAATTCTTTACAAAGAATTCAGCACAGTTGTCACTAGGCTGGACACCCTGGTAAACAACAGTGTGTTTCACCCTGCGCCCTGCACCACGTGCTCGCTCGACCCATACACGTATCAACTGACGTCACATTCCAAGTAAAACGTCGTACACCAATTCAAATTTTACGATGAATTTGACGTCATATACCAAAAAATCGTCCTCTAGGGCAGTTGTACTAAGATACACTAAGATACCACTGCACTGATCAGGATTTTTCCCTAATATTTAAAAGTGCATTTCCCTATTCAGAACTTTGAAATATAAGTTCCAGTAGCATAACCTATTTCCTAGGAAGATTTGTTAAACAGAATTCCAGACATTTTAAGCTCCAATGTATTAAATATCTAACTTATATAAGACAAGTAAATTTTTATAATAATTTTTTTTTTAATATTCTACTCTACATGAGTGAAAACGGCATACCATTTCATCTTTGAGCTAGTGGATGAAGTTCCAAGAGACAAGTTCGACTCTGACGATGTTGAGGAGCACCGTTTTCGTTTACCAGACTTGCCCTTCGATGTTGATGGAGATGGGCTGCTTTGCTGTTGGGGTCTTTCCACAGATGATAATTGGTAACCAGTTTTTTCACTGGTCATTTTGGATGATGTCATCAATGGCGACAACTTCCTCTTTTTAACAGGGCTGCAGGTTACATGTGTAGATCTCTTCCTCTTGGAATGTTTTGCCAGCTGTGAATAATCCTTTGAACCCCCTTCAGTATTTCCAGTTCTTTGTTTATCTGTTGTGAATTAATAAAAATTTCAGTATACATCACAAAAGAATTTCACATTAAATATATTCCTTAGCAGGGCTGGTGCAAAAAAAGTGCATTAAGTGCCATAAAGGGCAAGCTGCTCAAAAAACCTGAAACATCAACCCAACTCTTACCACTAGAGAATGGGTAAAGCTAAATCAAGATGAAAGGATAACGGAATTGTTCATAATTCAGAAGGCAGCCGCAACCTGAATTTGTAACCAAGATAGATAAATCGATCCAAACTCAAAAGAAACAGGACCCATCATTGAGCCATGCTTCCAATCCTCAAACAGGAATCGAAGCAAATCTGTCCATGCCTTAACTGGAGACAAACAAAACAATGAAAACCTGCAAAAAGACAGGCGACCATGGAGCCTACAGGAACCGTAATTACATGTAAAGAAGCCATCAAGGAATCCATACCAAATTGTGATGGAGGATAAGAAAACACATCCATGCAGAGACCAAACACCCAGAACCAGGCACTAGAGACTATCGAGGGTTGAAGGGCACGCACAGACCCATCTCAGGGCCATCTACGACACTCAAACCCTCACCACAACCAAACCCAGAAGCCCTAGGAAGAGATGCAGGATCCCCACCACATGCCTGTGAGTAAAGAGAGACATCATCCTAAGAGAGTCTAAGCTCCATAAAAAAAAAGCAGTGTCCCCACTGCAACAGGGAAGATTTGTCTGCGACGAAATCAATCTCTGCCGCAGGTTCATACAGAGCATTCGCCAGAGAAATGCCTATAGTCCCCAACCCCGGAGCAGCCCAGGACCTCAGAGCCAGAACACACTTGAGCACCTGCACCAAGGGCAGAGGGTGGATGGCAGGATACACCAAACCTGCATAAAGTAAGAAATGAAGAGAAGATGAAAACAGAACAAGTCTACATAACCAAGTACTCCATGTTCTATAAAAAAAAAAAAACATGGGCTCCAAATCTGAGATCCCCAAGCCAGACCAAGAACATGTGAACAAAAATGAGATGTTGTCCCATAAAATGGCTGGCATGAAAAGCTGTCATCAACAAAGGCGACTCGGCCAAGACCGAAGTCTAACAGGCCTCATAAGAACAAGGATGAAAAAACAAACATTAAGCCAACAAAGAACTAGGGTTGGGGCTCTATTTCAAACGTGGGGGATTAAATGGACAACCACTCCTGCAAAGCAGACCGAGTCCCCAGCAGCAAAACCCACAGCAGAGAAGCTGCAAAGACAACCACCCCAAAGACAGCAGAAAACAGCCACCACCTAAAAAACAGGAGCAGGAATAAGGGAAAGCAGACACTTGTGAGAGGAACCTAGCCGAATCCAAACATGGGTGAGGACAGCCCATCAGAAAGCCAACCAAGCCAAGAAAATCCAGGGCACATCTGTTGCAGCCCCGACCACAAAATGAGAAGCAAAGAACCAGCACCAAACCCAGGAACAGAAGGGCAAGAGGCAAGAGCCGAGCAACCCACAGAAAAGGTATCCAAACACAGCCAAACAACTACACTAACAGCATAAAAATAGTTGAGGAATATAATCAATGCACCAAGTCCTTTAAAGAAATGGGGACAAATACAAGCCAGGGCAAGGCTAGGACCCCAAACCCAATGGAGTCCTGAACTGTGGAAGGAACCAAGGCAAGCCTGCCCCACAAATGGCAGGAACATACACAGTTGGAAATCAGCAGAAAAAGCTAGGGGACGAATCCAGAGAACCAGTCAGCACCCACAAATGCATAAAGGGAGGAATAGTCTTGGAACAAACTAAAGTGACGAAGATACAAAGGAACACCGAAAATGGCCTAGATGACATGGGTGGCTATGAAGGCCCAAAGTGGCCCGCTGTATAGCAAGCATGCAAACCATAGGTGCACCCCCCCCCCCCCAAAGAAGTCTCCAGTTGCTTCAAACCCCGAGTCTCACAGAAGATTCAAAGACCCATGTACTATCCAGGCCAAAGTACCCCTCCGTAATAGGACAGCACTCATGAATAGACTCCCAAACTCATCAGGGAATGCAACCCTGTCAAGGCAGCGAGCACTTAGGTATATGCTGCTCAAGGCAAACCGTTGCACAAAGTTCAATCAACAAGTGAGGTTTATAAAGACGTGCTCATAAAAATTATACTAAAAGTAGAACAATACACAAACAAATGGCCCCCACTGGGCAAAGTCCAAAGGACTTACTTTGAAAAAACCAAAAGCTGAAGAACATGGCAACAGATGGAGCACTACACACAGTAGCACCAGGCAAATGACTCTGTTCACCACCTGAACCATCAGTTTCCAGTGCTGGCATCTGGAGGTGGAACTAGTGGCGACACTACCTCACTGCTGGGTGTCGTTTTTTCTGTTTTGCTTACTTTTGCCTTGTCGGTTTTCTTTCCCAGTCTACTCTTAAAGTGGCTAATTCATCAGAGTAGTTTACAATTCTCTGCTCTCTGTGCCTCTGTGAGGGGGATCAGAGTTCGTTCTCTGATCTCAGCAGGTTATTAATGACTCGCCTGGGCCTGGTGCAATGTAATAGGTGTGGAGCTATCCAAAGCGACTATCTACAGGGAACCCACCCAGAAAGTGGAGAAAGGTGAAGGCTGTTAAGAGAATGCCAGTAACAGCTGGTGGAACATCCGTGGACACCCTATTTGTGTTTCCAGGAACGTACAAATCAGATTAACCAGTTGCTTACAGATTTTATTTCCCAATAAAAGAGAAATATAAAAAAATGGAAGGTAAATAAAAGGTTTTACATAAACATCTTTCACAGACTGATGGTGGATTTCAGTATTTTGTTAACAGCAGAAATCTTACTTTACCTCTTAAATCCTTGATATCTAGCTGGCTTTTCTGCTCCTCCATTGAAACCTTGACAAACTTTGTCTTGAGAAGGTCGGCTGCAGCACCAACTTCATAGTCATTAAACTTCTCTGTTATAACAACCTTGTTTAAACCTGAAAATGAATTGTCACTTCAGCAAGATACTCTCAACAACTCTCCACTTATAAAATTTTGCTTGGAAAAGTTCCATAGAATTTGTATGAAAGATGCGTGTTACTCACCATTTAGGCTTTCCACTTACAACAGGACAGATTACAAAACCAAAGTAATCTTTTCCTCCATCCAATTACATTGATAATAATAGAACTTCCTTTAGGTTACATATCAGAATGGCATATTCAAAATACTTTTGACAATTATGCTAAAACAATGAAACAATACTTAATCTCTTGAGCTTCTAGCAAAAGAATACTGTACCCATTTATCTGAATTGCTCTTCACCACCAAACCCACACTATACGTACATGCACAAGAACATCTCCAGAGCAGAATGGCGGGATCGAACCAGCATCATGAGTTGTCCCAACTGTGCGCCTTAACCCAAGGACCACGATATGCTAATGAGCATATCGAGGTCCATAGATTAAACACCTCAGGAAGCTGGCTCAATCCAGCCCTCCTGCTCCAAAAATTTTCCACACTATCTATATTTTATAACATTTACATAGCTGGTATATAAACTAACTTAAGTTAGTACTGCAATATATTATCCTACAAAAATTAAGCAACAACCAGTTCCACTGGAAACACAATACTGTACCAAAATTTCCCAGGATAATCTTAAGAATGTGAGTGAGTTGGTGTCGAAGCATGAAGTCCTTCAATATGGCAGAAATATCATCAATTATGATGGCCCTGGTGTTGCAAAAGTGGCTCGAAGATTCTTTAGACTTTGTCACCAATAACTTGGACAGAACACTTGGTGTCCCAATCAGCACTGATGCATTCTCTGTAACATCATCGTGTAAAGCAAAATCAGGATGCGTTGCATGCTTCTGAACACTTAAAAATACAAAGTTGCAATGAAATATTTTATTAAATAGGTGCTGTATATACCAAAAAAACTAATTATAATCTAAATTTTCTTAACTATTACTATTATTTTATTATGTACAAAGGAAGAACTTCAAGAGTAACAAACCTAAATTCTGGTGCTCATGAGTGACTACGACAACTGTTTGAAGGAATATTTTGGCCAAGTCCAGCACTGCCAGTCTCAACATGTTGGCCATCATTGCTGAGGGAGTTATTATCAAAACTCTTACACCTGAAAAAATTAAATGATTATATATATACAGTATGTTTACTGTGAATTTAAATCATCTTCAACTAGAAACTACAGTATACACAACACCCAACACAGGCAAATCAAAGGGCTATATATTGAATTATTTAATGGAAATAATTAGTGTTTTACTAACCTTATAGATATTAAGCTTTTAAATAGCCATTTATGAAGGAAAACAACAATATGTTACTATGTAATCGGACTGTGGGGAGAGGCAGAAATGCCCTTCTCACAAGTGTGAGAAGAACTCAACAAGAGGTTCCTGGACATCTACAACCAGAAACAAAGTCTCTTGTCAAATCGGCTCTGATAAACAACAAACCCAACATGAACCTTAGTCCTACCTTTGTTGCTGTTGACTCTTCCCTTTCACAGTACATTCTCAAATGCTCTAACCGTCCCTCATATGTGACCTGACATGAGCCTACACCCCTTTTTTCTTTCTTTTTCTTTCTCCTCTTATTCTTACATTTCCATTCTTATACTCATTATTACCACCTTCTTACACCCCTATTATTACACCCATCCCATCCGTACCTTTTGCCTTGCTCATGCCTTCCTCTAGGAATTTCCTTCTCCTCACCTCTCTCTCTCTTGCCTTACTTAATCCCATGCCTCCCACACTCCCATCACAACAGACTTGATAATGGTCCAGGACAGACAAACGTCATTGTCTCCTCATCTTCTGGTGTGTGATTAGTCTTCAGAAACAAATTCATGTCCAAAAGATAGGTGACAACAGATGGGCAGAAACAACACTAGACAGAATTTATGTTACTGTAAAAGGAGGTAAAAAAAAAGGACACCTGGAGGAATTGGATGTAACAAGAGCAGTAGAATCAGTCCAGATATCACCATGGTTACTGAAGGAAGCTGTAGGGATTTTTTGTTACCAATTAACTAGACAAGAGAGAGAGATACCGAAAATCTGAAAAAAAAAGCATGTGTAGTTGCAATATTCAAGAAAAGTGACAAACTTGAAGCACTATAGACCAGAGTCACTAACATCCATTCCATGTAAAATGTTGGAAAATGTTGTAGTAAAATTTGTAGATTTTGAGAGAGTAAATTTCCTAAAAAGAGACAACACAACTTCAGAAGGGAAAAAAAAAAAGTCATGCTTAACAAACTTGATTGAATTTTATGACAAAGTCACCAAAATAGGACAAGACTGAAAGGTGGCTGGACTGTATCTCCCAAGACTGCCAGAAAGCTTTTGATACAGTCCCCCACAAAACACTAATACCCATGATGGGGAGACAAGCAGGGATAACAGGAAAAGTCACTGGAATGAGTAAAGAAATACCCAATTGACAGGAAACAAAAGGGACAGAGGTATGTCAAGCTATAGAGGAGTGGAATGGTGTTCCACAGGGCTATGTCCAGAATCATTGCTTTATGTAAATGATCGACATGAGGGAGTAAGCTCATACATGACAATGTTTACAGGTGACACAGTTAATGAAGAGAATAAAAACTGAATAGGACCTTAGGATGCTGCAAGAAGACCCCTCACAAATGGCTGCTGGAAATCAACCCAAATAAGTACTAGGTAACGATATGAGAAAAGTGAGATAACAGACCTGTAGGTACCTACACCGTAAGGATAAGTAAACTACAAGGAAAAATAAGAGAAAAGATCTGGGAGAAGACATGTGAACAGGATAACATCATAAACATATGGAAAGTTAGCAAAAGGAAGTACATCTTTTAAAAATCTAAACAAGGAGCCTCTCAAGCCTATACACATTACCTATGTGAGACCATTACTCGAACATGCAGTATCAGCATGGAACCCATAATTTGTGAAGCATAAACAATAAACTTGACAAAGTCTAGAGTTTTACAACTAGATTAGTACCAGAACTGAGAGGATTCATCTAGTATGACAGATTGAGAGGACTTCATCATAAACTTTGTGGAGAAAAGAAACTGAGGGAGATACGATCACTTCATACAATATTCTCAGGAGAATAATGTGGACAAAGGAAGCCTATTTAAATTAAAAGGTTGTGGGACAAGGGAACATAGGTAGATACAGTGACAATGTCAAAGGTTATCATTCTTCAAGGGTTTAAAAATAATAGTTGTTCTCATCATGAACTTTCATACAACACTAGAAGGCACGCCAGATTTAATTATGTTTATAAATTGTCCGTTCTACTCAAAATTCATCACATGTTTCGTCTTAGGATTGCTCCTACTATCGTTAAAGCCATGCCCTCAAAGTTGCCTTCACTTTTTAAACCATGGTGGTATGATATTATCAATCTTCAGAAAAATAACATGGTACCTATAGGAATGCAATCTTCAATATCTAGGGCTGATATAAAAACAACAAAAGTGAATAGGTCAAAATGCTCAGTGTTGTCACAGGCCACTAAACTAGAGGTCAAGTCAGATAGATTATAAAGCTGAACTGTACATGCAAGGATAAGTTAAACTGCAGAGGAGCATATGCAAGGGTAAATTAGAAAGCATTAAAAACCAAATTGTGCATATAGGTAATTACAAAAACCTAATTTATCGTGTAGATATTTTATATGGGGTAAACAATCGATGGGGATGGGGGGGAATGCTATATCACACTGTTTAAGGAATTGAAACATTACTTACCAGAGGCAATTGGCAGCTTAAAAATATTCCTTATCGCTTCCACCGTGAAATATATGGTGCTACCAAGTCCCTCGACATACAAGTCTTGCCAGCATTCATGGTATAGAGAATCTGCACTCTCTGTGGAGTAAAATATTACAGTCAATATCTACCATCCACTCAAAGCTGTATTCTTGGCATAAATCACAGCACTGTACTGTGGTCAAGATGGCAGGAAGAGAAAAGAGTGAAAGCAAGAGAAATCGAGTGATGGCAACTGTTCTCACCAACAGTAGTTGTACTTATAGCAAAATCCAGGTCTCGCTTGCTATAAATACAACTGAAACCACATGGTGCATATATGCCTCCAGCATTCCAGTACCGTCTTACTGTGCCTGCTCTTGAAGCTCTCATTAAGGTGGCTTCTACCATTTCTGCCTTAAGCTCTTCCAAATATTTAACATCTCTGGGTCATTTGTGTTTCCAACTTTCAGCAGTGCTCCATTGTACTGCTACACCTCACTAGGAAATTACCAATTATCTCCTGTACTTTGTTCAAGATAGTGAAGGGTTAATGGTTAACCATTGTGATGAACACAATGGTTAATCTCGTTTTTCTCCTCTACTTGTTTAGACTTTGGGAGTGACAGAAAAGATGCTGCCCCAATGCCGACAAAGCTTGTAAAAACTTCACCTCTGGGAAGAGAGCGGGAAGAACAATGACCAAGTGACCTCTTGGGGGGAAGCAGGTTGATAGGTGTCAAGTGTCCAAGAGGAGCACATGGAAACTTCCCGGAAAACACTGAGGGATTGGTATCTGCACCACCTGTTGCAAACAGTGGCTGCACAAGCCAATAATGTAAAGTCCAGTCCTAAATAGCAGCTCCAGCCTGATAGGCAACTGGCAGGAAAGACAGCTTACCCAAAACCTACATTCAACAATGACACTGCACACTGCAATCTCAAGTATGGAATTGAGCAGGAAAGCCATACCAACCTGGTGGATTACATACATGAGATAAAGAAGCCCATAGTGGGTAGGGGATAACAGTTTTGCCAGACCATCCTACAGACAGGCAAGCTATGTGCAGGGAAATAAGCGTGCCGAATGTGAAAAATCATGTACAGCAACAAACACAACTTTAGCTAAATTTCCAGGCCCGTAATGCATACAGGAGCAGGGTCATCACAATAGGTGGGGTTTTAATGTACACAAGAACACAGTCAAAGGTATGTGTCTCGTCATCAAGAGGGCCCACAGAGAACAGTCTTGTGTACTGTTCGGTAACTAAGCAATACAAAAGGAATAAGCACTCGAAAAATAACACTTACTACCCAGGAACAACAAAGGAATTCCTAGTGTAACTTGTGTGTAAAAATGCTGAAACCTTATAAACTTTGGTATAAGAGAGAAACTGATGCATAAATTAACGGCTTAAAATTTTGTTAGGAAAACCAATATTTAAAAAATTGATAAGTAATCATGAATAATATGGTTTGAATGCTTGAATTCACATTGAATAATAATTCACAATAGTACTTTTAATTGGGCTTCTTGAAGAAACCAGAGATTTTGCATGACTAATTTACACTAAGAAGCTAATGGTTTGAATCAGTTATAGGAGTCTTACTTCTAGAAATATTAATATGGCACAGTAATTTAAAAAAATATTACCTGGATGTACAAATGGACAAACTTCTTTCTTCTTTGAACAAAAGTGAGCTTTATTCCTGCCCGGACAAACGAGAGATCGAAATCTTTTAACATGGTAGTCTCTCTCTACAGTTGTGTGAGCATATGGGCATGAATCTTGCTTGGCACATTTTGTCCTCTGTATAACTGCACGACACATTTCATCACTGCCAAGCGTAAGAATGTGTTAATAAAAGCCAATTGGGAAGGCATCCGCAGTCACAATCTCTCACATGATACAATATAAAGATGTTAAATCTACACGTGTTAGTGTGAGTATAATCACTACAGAATATTACTCGCATAATCTTCAATTGTCACCCTTTTCATCACACCCTTAAAAAATTGTTCAAATACAGTACTGCATTTTTGCTTTTACAATAGATTAACACTCAAAGGTTAAAACATGAAAAACCTTCAACCTTCAACATACAACTTCCCTACAACCAAATACTAATATTAATTTTGAATCTTGAGTTCTTTTTAATAATTAATGCATATCAATGCATATGACTTCACCACATTAAAGGTTTGGAATTGCCTTAAAGTGTGAACTTTGTGTATGCCTACACAATTATCTTTAAACCAATCTCAAAATTTGACTGAATGTTAATGAACCCAGGCAGACCCCAATCATATAGTAAAATTGAACCCAATTACAGTGATAAAATTTCACGTGTTAGTGTGAGTATTTACAATCATTGCAGAATATTACTCACATAATCTTCAATTGTCACCCGTTTCATCACACCCTTAAAAAATTGTTCAAATACAGTACTGCATTTTTGCTTTTACAATGGATTAACTTATTTGAAATTTACTGATCATGTACAGCAGTACCGCCAAATGTTCGAAAGCACAAAACAAAATGCACCCGCGTAGCAGACATAAGACGTACCTGTATTCATAGAACCCTGGGCTTCGACGTCGATCTAATAGATTGTGATAGCCAGAACACAAGCCAGGGGAGTAACACTTGGGTTTTATACACATTTTAACCTTGAATCCATAAACATTGAAACCTGAAACAAAAAAATAGCAAGCATATCAGAAAAAATGTAGGGAAACTCAGGTATGTTTCAGAGAGAAGAAAGATACAAAGTATTCATCTAATACCAGGCAGATGGCAACACTACGTTGTGATGATCTCCTAATGGTCAATTTAAAGCCATATTGTTTTATGCTATGGTTTATTTATTTATTTATTTATTTTTCCATTTCCCATCTAATTTTTACAATGTCTGTTATAAGCCTAATACTATGAATATGCTAGATGCATCTCACATCCAGATCAAGCATTGATTGTAATAAATTGTTCCTTCCTCATGGCTGCCCTAATTTTCTTCTTTATCCTACAGATCATATCACTCTGCCTGGCCACACTAAGTTCTACAAACCCATGACAGCCCAATCCTTTCTGTCAAATCATCACAATGTTACTTTATCCTACATTAGACCTAACTTTCTTGTATACACACTCAAACTCGTTCACAATCTTTAGCAGTGTATCTTCACTCATGGGAAAGAACCATCACATTATCTGTTTACATCATCATCAATACCAACTATTTACCTCCTCCACAATCCACTTTTACTCCATGTGTTGTCTTTGGCACTTGCCAGCAAGTGCAAAGAAGCCAATATAAGAATACCACCAAGAGGACTTCAAAGTTAGAAGTACAAGATCAGTCAATGATAATAGATGCCTGGAAGCAAAGAGGGTCAAGAAGGTTTGGAAAGAACAGAAGAAAGCCAGAACTCCTATTAAGAGAGATTAGTAAAAGGATAAAGAAGCAATGTAAAAATGACATGTTGCATCAAAGACAAAGGAAAAACCAAACAATCACATTAGAAAGAAAATGGTGGCGAATGAACAGGTAATCAGACTAAAGAAAGCCTGCATGTACACACAAACACAGAATATGACATAGTAAGTGAAGTATTAAATGAAAGATACCCAGAAACATTTTAAAGAACTCCCAGTAGAACTGTAGGGCTGGAGCCTTCCTAATGACAGAGTGAGCAAAATTGAGGTAATGACAGATACAGCTAATGTTTTATTTTGTGGCAAAATAAAAAAAGTGGCAAACACCCAACAGAAAAAGTGGCAAACGGGCAACAAAAAAAGTGGCAAATGGCCAACAGAAAAAGTGGCAAATGCCCAACAGAAAAAGTGGCAAACGCCCAACAGAAAAAGTGGCAAACGCCCAACAGAAAAAGTGGCAAACGCCCAACAGAAAAAGTGGCAAACGCCCAACAGAAAAAGTGGCAAACGCCCAACAGAAAAAGTGGCAAACAGCCAAAAAAAAAAAGTGGCAAAACCAATTCTTTAGTATGCAGCATAAGCATGGTATTCAAACATGAAAAAGCATGACAAAACAAGTACGTGGATACATGGCAAGACTTGCCTCAGAGTGGATAAAGAGGCAATAATAAAAAACAGCCAGACCAGTTAAAATGGAGAGATGCAAGACAATCTCAAAAAATATCAAGTAAAAATGAAACAGGCTGCAAGAGAAGATTGCCGAGGTCAATTCAATAAATAGCTTCAAACGGAAATATGACAAGACACAGAAGGAATAAAAGTCATTGCATTACCACATTAGAAGTTGAAAAGGTGTGTTTAGGGAGCTATTACATAACACTGCAAATACAACTAAGCACGTAAACACACACCCGAGCACTCGGTCAAGTCAAACAACAAATCAAATCACTCGCTAAATGATAGTGAAGCATTCAACAAAGCATGCAGACACAGGAGTCAAACAGATACACAGATATACTGCACGTACAGAGGCAGTCAGGTTTGTTCAGTGGGTCAGTGTCAACACTAGACACGGCAACATTAATTTATTGCATAATGGGAAAGCTCTGTTGTACCTGTCCAAGACCTGTTTCTTCCGAACCAGTGCACCAACCACCGAGCAGCTCTCGTGATTTGACAATCGCCAATATTCAAATGGCCAGGCAGAAACCCAGCTTACAAGCCAGATCAGTTATTAATATTTTGTGCAAATTAACATTATATTCAAATATAGGTTAAATATACTAATATGGAGTGGTTTGGAAACCTAGCTATTATTTGAAGCAATACCTGTACATCTATGGGAAATTATGTTCAGAGCACAGAACACATGACTTGCAAATTACAATTTTAAACTCAACCTGTTCATAACTTGGAGACTCCCCATAATGTATATACATAATGATACAAACAATACTTCTCAAATCAAATACCTTTATCAATCCACCTCTTTATGCAGCTCACCATCTCATCCTCTTGACATTTCAACACATCTACCACCTCACTATCCAAGGCCAGCTCATCCTGGTAGTTGTACTCACTCTTTACAGCTGAAACATCTGAAGGAAAACAAGAAAGAGGAATTTTAAGTAATACTGTAGTGTTTGGTGTGTGTATTTGGTGATTGGTAATTGTGTTCAGTGCTTGATAATACAGTGACACCTCTCAAACGTCCTCACACCCAAGAACCAAAGGAGGGAAAGGGGCAGTAAACATGGCGTAACATGCAAGCCCAATTGCTCAACCTCCATCAACACAAGGAATGCCCACCTAGCCACTAGAGTTCAAAAGGGGCTGTCAGAAGCATAATGGGATGCCAGCCGACTAAGCAGTCACCACCTGGGGCCAGATTCACGAAAGCACTTACGCAAGTACTTACGAACGTGTACATCTTTCCTCAATCTTTGACGGTTTTGGTTACATTTATTAAACAGTTTACAAGCGTGAAAACTTTCCATTCAACTGTTGTTATTGTTATAAACAGCCTCCTGGTGCTTCGGAGCTCATTAACTGTTTAATAATTGGAAACAAAGTTGCCAAAGATTGAGAAAAGATGTACAGGTTCGTAAGTGCCTGCGTAAGTGCTTTCGTGAATCTGGCCCCTGGAGATCAGTCCTGAAATCTGGTGGACAACAGCCCAGCATGGGAAGAAAGATCAGTCTTACCATAAAAGTGACTCCACTGCCTTGCACGAAGCGGGCAAAAAAAAAAAAACTTCCAGCCAGGGCCAGCCCTATTGTTAAATGGCAAACAGACAAGTATCTAAAAACCACTGAACATTTTATGAATTCCAACAGCATTTGGCATTCCCAGAAAGGTACATCTCCTCCCCATCCCCATCCTGTAATGTGATGTGTTGATTCTATATGGTACAGTTTAGTGTGAACATATGGTTAATGGATGTACATGAGAATTTTTAACCATTCTCTACATAGCTCTATATACTCCATGAAAATGAAAACTATACAAAGGTGATACATAACCATATGGTGATACATAAACACCATACCTATTTCTAAACCAAATTAAATAACTACTTTATTACACACATCATCTCTTCACTTCTCCAAACTATTACTTAATGAAAATTTGTTTTAATTCTGCAGTTAATGTAGAATGCTATCTACTGAAAAAAAAAATATTAAAAACTAACCATAGTCCCCATCCAGGTTAACCTTAAGTTTTTTGTCAAGGAAGCGGTAATCATTGAGCATTGTTACGCAGAGAACAGCATTCCTCAGTGTCAAGAACCTGTAGAGCAGATCATCTGAAGAACAAAAACAACTTATTAATAACACAAGAGTACACTTACAGCAACAAAATATAAAGAGAACATTTCTTCTCTGAAATCTATTATAGGGACTTGTTTACTTAGTAAAACAACTTTACAATTATACTTTAGCATCAAATACTTTATATCACATAACGTTCAGGTTTTTTCTAATATTTGTGCAGTCATAACCCTGTTTCTTATTTAAATACTTTAGTAATGATAGAACAAACCCTGTTTCTTATTTAAATACTTTAGTAATGATGGAACAAACAGAAACCCTTGATTACTTCCTTTCATGCAGTACACAACTTTTTTCCAAAATGTTGTTTCTGAACAGGCAACCTCAGTATACCAGTCTTGTTATACGAGGGGTGAGTGTTACTGACAGTTGGGACTGGCAAGGGGGAGTGTTACCGACAGTTGGGACTGGCAAGGGTGAGTGTTACTGACAGTTGGGACTGGCAAGGGTGAGTGTTACTGACAGTTGGGACTGGCAAGGGTGAGTGTTACTGACAGTTGGGACTGGCAAGGGTGAGTGTTACTGACAGTCCATACTCAACTGCCCACTCCATAAACCCTCCATTGCTTAGCCTCCCCCCCCCCCCCCCCCCCCCATCATACAGAAATGGTACAAAAAAAAAAACAGAAAAGCTAAATGTGTCAAGTTAAATTAAAGCGATCATCACTATTTCATGAAAAAGAGCAGAAAATTATTCCTAATGTGATAATGTGTTACTCTGTAAAAGGACCTATACAGCTTTTGATTTACAAATAGGTAATGTGCATTTACTGTTACTTAAGTAAAATATCAGTAAACAATTTAAATAAATCAGTAAATAAGTGCCATTAAATAAATATGTAAATAAATTAAATCAGTAAATAAGTTTAGTAAAAAAAAGTAACGTGCATTTACCGACATACAGTATTAGTGTGATCAACAAAAGCTTACCTCCATCAAATTTTCCAGGGCTGCATGCACCACACTCTTCAAATACTTCATGGATAACCGATATTGGAATCAAGTCCGATATGTTTGAAGCCCTTACTATAATATCTTCTCTAAAGTGAGGCTTGGGTCTAAAGGTGGCATGGTGCAACACTTTCTTCGTAACCCGCACCGTATCACATATCTTAACATTGTCTTCATTACCTTTTTTAATGACAGTAGAACCAGCCTTTTCTGATCGCACATTTGAGAGTCCCAGCTCTCTCTCGTGTTCTTCCGCCGATTCTTCTCTCTTGGATTTGGTAACAAGATCTGTGATTGCATTTTTTTGGTGCAAAGTCTTTACATTATCTTCATTATGTTTCAAGTTAGAAATGCTTACATCCTTTCCTCGCACACATCCAGAAATTGCAGAACGATCATCCTCAACTGGACTGTTTTCAATGACTGTGCATGTATTACTCGAGGACAAATTTTGTTCAACATTCATATGAGTGACTTCCTTACAAGTACTACTGACTCCAGTGTTCAGTGTTCTATTATTGCCTTTTACCACACCTTTTTCTTTTGTACCTGAAGACTTGCTACTACAAACACTTTTTCCAACATTACTATTATGTCCCATTTTAATGTGCAATTTATTTATCGGATCTAATTTACATTCGAAAGCTGATTTCACATGAGAACTCTCCTGGCATAATTTTGGTTTCTCAGCTGCCTCTGGTAATCTCTCTGTAAATGGCTGTGGTAACTGCTTGTCTGACATTACCAATGGCTGTCTGGAATATGATTCTGGTACAGGTGTTGTAGTTAATTCTAGCAGTTGTTTGGCAGTGGCTTCTGGATGTGTTTTGGCAGAGGTTTCTGATGGTTGCCTAACAGAAAATTCTCCCACCAATGGTTTGAAGGGTTCCACAAGTTGCTTTACAGTTTCTTCTGGTTGCTTGACCAGCTCAGATAATTGTTTAACAGGCCATGATTGTGTGGTACGTGATCGTCCTGATTGCTTGACAGAAACATCTGTTTCTTTCTTTGAAATTGACTCTGTAGACTGCTTCTCAATATCTCCAGATTGCTCAGTATGTTCTCCTTGCTGCTTACTAAAGTAGTTTGAAGGCTGCTTGAGAGGAGCTGCTTGCTGTCTTGTAATAGTTCCCGATTGGATTCCAGCAAATCCTACTAGATGTTTAGTGGGCAGTTCTCTTGGTTGCTCGGCACCCAGTGTGGCAGACTCTTCGGCACCCAGCGTGGCGGGCTCTTCGGCACCCAGTGAGGCGGGCTCCCCGTCAGGTTCCTTGGCAGACGCCCCGGATGACGCCCCGGCAGGCTCCTCGGCAGACGCCCCGGCAGGCTCCTCGGCAGACGCCCCGGCAGGCTCCTCGGCAGACGCCCCGGCAGGCTCCTCGGCAGACGCCCCGGCAGGCTCCTCGGCAGACGCCCCGGCAGGCTCCTCGGCAGACGCCCCGGCAGACGCCCCGGCAGGCTCCTCAACAGGTTCCCTGGCAGGCTCCTCAACAGGTTCCCCGGCAGGCTTCTCAGCAGACACCCTAGCAGGCTCCTTAGCAGACACCCTGGCAGGCTCCTTAACAGACACCCCGGCAAGCTCCTCAGCAGACACCCCGGCAGGCTCCTCAGCAGACGCCCCGGCAGGCTCCTCGGCAGACGCCCCGGCAGGCTCCTCGGCAGACGCCCCGGCAGGCTCCTCGGCAGACGCCCCGGCAGGCTCCTCGGCAGACGCCCCGGCAGGCTCCTCGGCAGACGCCCCGGCAGGCTCCTCAACAGGTTCCCTGGCAGGCTCCTCAACAGGTTCCCCGGTAGGCTTCTCAGCAGACACCCTGGCAGGCTCCTTAGCAGACACCCCGGCAGGCTCCTTAACAGACACCCCGGCAGGCTCCTCAGCAGACACCCCGGCAGGCTCGTCAGCAGACACCCCGGCAGGTGGCCCGGCAGGCTCCTTGGTAGACACCCTGGCAGGGTCCTCGGCAGACACCCCAGCAGGCTCCTCGGCAGACACCCCAGCAGGCTCCTCGGCAGACACCCCGGCAGGCTCCTTGGCAGACACCCCAACAGGTGCCCCAGCAGCCTCCTTGGCAGATGCTCCAGCAGGCGCCCTGGCAGCCTCCTCATCAAGTTTCCCGGCAGACGGCCCGGCTGGCTCGTTTGCAGGCGCCCCAGCAGGCTCCTTGGCAGACGCCCCAGCAGGTTCCTTGGAAGATATCCTGATAGCCTCCTCGGCAGACGTGGTGATAGGTTCCTCAACAGGTTCCGTGGCAGATGCCCCAGCAGGCTTCTCAGCAGACACCTCGGCAGGCTCCTCAACAGGTTCCCCAGCAGTCAGCCTGGCAGACGCCCCGACAGGCTCCTCAGCAGAGGGCCCTGCAGCCTCCTTAGCAGACGCCCCGACAGGCTCCTCGGCAGACGGCCCTGCAGCCTCCTTAGCAGACGCCCCAACAGGCTCCTCGGCAGATGGCCCGACAGGCTCCTCGGCAGACGGCCCTGCAGGCTCCTTAGCAGACGCCCCGATAGGCTCCTCGGCAGACAGCCCTGCAGGCTCCTTAGCAGACGCCCCGACAGGCTCCTCGGCTGACGGCCCTGCAGGCTCCTTAGCAGACGCCCCGACAGGCTCCTCAGCAGACGCCCCGACAGGCTCCTCGGCAGACGGCCCTGCAGCCTCCTTAGCAGACGCCCCAACAGGCTCCTTGGCAGACGGCCCTGCAGCCTCCTCAGCAGACGGCCCTGCAGGCTCCTCAGCAAATGCCCCGACAGGCTCCTCGGCAGACGGCCCTGCAGCCTCCTTAGCAGACGGCCCTCCAGGCTCCTCGGCAGACGCCCCTCCAGGCTCCTCGGCAGACGCCCCTCCAGGCTCCTCGGCAGACAGCCCTGCAGGCTCCTTGGGAGATGGCCCTGCAGGCTCCTCGGGAGATGGCCCTGCAGGCTCCTCAGCAGATGCCCCGACAGGCTCCTCGGCAGACAACCCTGCAGGCTCCTCAACAGGCTCTTCAGCAGACGGCCCAACAGGCTCCTCGGCAGACGGCCCGACAGGCTCCTCGGCAGACGGCCCTGCAGGCTCCTCAGCAGACGGCCCGACAGGCTCCTCAGCAGACGCCCCGGCAGGCTCCTCGGCAGACAGCCCTGCAGGCTCCTCAACAGGCTCTTCGGCAGATGGCCTAACAGGTTCCTCGGCAGACGGCCCGACAGGCTCCTCAACAGATGGCCCTGCAGGCTCCTCAACAGATGGCCCTGCAGGCTCCTCAACAGGCTCCTCGGCAGACGGCCCAACAGGCTCCTTAACAGGCTCTTTGGTAGATGGCCCGACAGGCTCCTCAGCAGGTGGCCCTGCAGGCTCCTTAACAGACGCCCTGACAGGTTCCTCAGCGGACGGCCCTGCAGGCTCCTCAACAGGCTCTTCAGCAGACGCCCCAATAGTCTTTTTGGCAGATGGCCTGACAGGCTCCTTGGCAGACGGCCCAACAGTCTCCTCGGCAGACGACCCGACAGGTTCCTCGGCAGATGACCCGATAGGCTCCTCAATAGGATCCCTGGCAGACGGCCCGGCAGACAGCCCAACAGGCTCCTCGGCAGACGGCCCGACAGGCTCCTCAACAGGCTCCCCGGCAGACAGCCTGGCAGGCTCCTCAACAGGCTCCCCGGCAGACGGCCTGGCAGGCTCCTCAACAGGCTCCCCGGCAGACGGCCTAACAGGCTCCCCGGCAGATGGCCCGACTGGCTCCCCGGCAGGCTGCCCGGCAGACGGCTTGACAGGTTGTTTGGTATGTTGTAATAGCTTGTTACTAGGCTCTGTTAACTGATCAGACAAATCAACTTGTCTGGTCACAACTCCTGCCTCTTGTGACAGTATGACCATCTTGTGTACTGGAGGGTCCATTAGTTGCTTGCCAAGTTTCCCATCATTCTTATTAGTTTCTTGTAGATTTTGAGTACACTCAATTGCCTTCATAGAAGTTGTTAATTGTATGAGAGGTTGTCTTGAAAGTTTTATTGGCTTCTTTGTAGGTCTTGATACTTGTCTAGTTAGTTCTACTAGATTCTTTGTATGTTCTGATCGTTGCTTTGTTGGTCCTATTGGCTTCGTTGTAGGTTCTGCTGTTTGGCTTGTATGCTTCATTGGGTTCACATCAGTTTCTACTAGTTGCTTGGGAGGTTCTGTCAGTTGCATTTCAAGTTCCATTTGCTTCCTTTCAAGTTCAGATAACTGGCCGAGAGGCTTAACTGGTTGCTTGGCAAGTTGCACAGACTTTTTTGCTGATCCTGTAGAATGTTGGTTAAGTTCTACTGAAAGCTGGACAACCATTTTGTCATGCTCTACGAGTTGTTTAGTAGGCTCTTCTAGCTTCATAGCAGGTTCTTCTGGCTTCTTTGTAGGTTCTTCTAGATTCCTGGTTAGTTTTATTATCTTCTTATTATCTGATAGTTGGTTGGTAGGTTTTTCTAAAACTTTATCAACAGATTGTGCTGGTTGCTTGGTGGTTTCTATTGACTGATTTAATGATATTATTAGTTGTTTGCCACTCCCTGCTGACAACTTGTCAATAGAGATTGGGTGAACTTTGGATGGAGCTTTTATACAATGCTTATCGCCAAAGTTTTCTCTCTTTCTGCCGCTGAATATGCCTGGTTTTGAAAACACTTCAAGAGATTTTGTTGATATGGGATGGGAATCTTTAGGCAGCTCTGGATATTTCTTTGGGAACTTGACAGGAGATATTTTGAACTTTTTGGAAGGGTTTTCTGGCATTTTGGCACAAGGACCTGCTTGAACTTTAGGAGGGTCCATCGGGGACTTAGCTGGAAACTTGACAGAGGGCCCTGCCGGGAACTTAGCCGAGAGCTTGACAGAGGGGCCTGGTGATAACTTGAGGGAAGATTTCTCTGACCATGTGTCAGGAGAGACTAATTTCCTCTTAGATGAAGTGCTCTCCAACTCCTCCACATAAGGTTTTGGACATCTGACTTTTACTGAAGTTTTCTTCAAGTCTTGCATACAAGATCCACCAACTTTGCTACATTCTGTATTTAAGGCAGCCAAATCGGAAGCAATTGTTGTTACTGATGAAGATTCCCCACATTTTAGATCTGTAAAATAAAAACCAAGTAAGGTCAAAGTAAGAGAGCATAATGTTGCATAAGCAGTCCCCTGGAAACACAAACCAAAACTGTCTATTTTCCCGCTTGTTACAACTTGTAATAAAGTTGTTACATCTTGGCTTAACGTGTTTATAACGAATTAGAACGTTGTTACAACTTGCTATATTGGTTGTTATAACTGGTTAGGAAGTGTTAAAACTTGTTCGAACGTTGTACCAACGTCGTAGTTTCGGTGTGTGTTTGGCGGGTCAAAGTTTAAGGTCAGGTCAAATAAGGTCAGGAAAACACGTGATGGACAGAGGTTCCTCTGGAATACTGACAAAGCAGAATATAAGTACCATAGCTCAAGTTAAATAAATGGTCAAGAAAGATGCAGCTGCAATGGAAAACAGTCTGGAATTTCCTCCAAGTAAATTTATTGAGATTGTAACAAAGCAAGTAATATTTTCGAGAAAGAACTGGCAATTTTATACAAGATATACACTTAAATATTCATAAAATGTTGGTCACTTGAATGTTCAGACATGTGCACCAGTTTTCAGCAATTTCTAAGGAAAGTTTCATTCAAAATGAATGAAATTTTTACATATTGTATGGATATATATAAATAACTTTGCAACCTCAAGAACAAGAAGTTATAGGCTCAAGCTAAGGAAACAAAGCTGCCCAAAAAAGTTTTTTTTTTTTTTTGAGCGGTAGACGATAGCGGTAGAGGGTAGAGTGGTAGACTGTTGGAACAAGTATGGTGGCAGTGGAGGCCAAAAATATCAGTACAGTAGTTTTAAAGCATCGTATGAAATAAAAGGAAACAGTACTGGGAAGATAGGGGCACCACGAGCGTAGCTCTCATCCTGTAATGGCACTGAGGTAATTACATACTTGTTAAGTGCATGACTCACATTAACAACAGATATGCCAATACACATTTTCAGTGTATCTATGCAGCAGCAATTAATGTGAATTTAGAGGAACTAGCAAGTGTGGGAAATATTAGTTGCACGTCAAGTATTTAACCCTTCTACTGTGTCTGGACAGGCAGTGCAAAATACTGTACAAGAAACCACTGAACTTTCCTGTGCGGCATAATGCCTCAAAAAAAAAAAAAAAAAAAAATCTTGGCCACAGCAGCTAAACCACAAGAGACAGACTTTTTACTTGAATTTTTGTGCTTCCTGGATGCTAATTAACAATGTCAAAAGAACAAATAATTTGTTCAGATTTGTTTAGTGAGCACCACGGGGTTGTCAGTAATAAACAGTGCGTAGTGCAGGGGATAAACAAGCCCTTCCTCTGATATCAAGGATCAGAGTGAAGAGGCACTCATGGCCCAACAGCAATAGCGATCGTCCCTGTATGCAGGTGCAAAAACCTTCAAAACAACATGCAAAGCTATTCTCCAGATATTGCCTGACCACTGTCAATTAAAAAACCACAATAAAAGAAAACTTTTGTCAGAATGAATACGTATTATCAGGTACAATACGCATAAAGAATAGATCACTAAACACACATTCCCATACCTACTATTGCAGTATTAATACACAATAAAATCACAGCGAGCAGCGAGCTCGCTTTCCCAGCGAGCATAAGAAATATTGCCGGAACAACCGTAGACATCTTCAAGAGGAAACTAGATTGTTTCCTCCAAGGAGTGCCACACCAACCAGGATGTGGTGGATATGTGGGCCTGCGGGATGCTCCAAGCAACAGCCTGGTGAACTAAACTCTCACAAATCAAACCTGGCCCGTAGTAGAAGAATTCCTAGAACCCCATCAACCAGGTATCAACCAACCACAGGTGGGCCTTCCATCCCTTCACACAGCATCCAGATTTTCTCTTACAGTATTAATGGTCTTAAGGAAAATTATATAATTGAAAAATAAAAGACCTACAGATAGGTTATATATTTATTTTTGAGGGTTAGCTTTAATACAAATATATGATCTACAGCTAAATGGCTAGCTTTAATACAAGTATGCATTTTTATTGAGATAAGGTACACAACACAATTACAGTTCACAATTACAGGTAACAAACTACATATTTTGTTACCCTTCTTAAGACATTAACAACACAACTCCTGAGACTTACCTACAACATCCTGAGAGGAAATAGATGAGGATGCTGGAGAGCCTTCTTGTACATCTTCCATTTTGGCATTGGCAAAGTATACCACCAGATCCTTGATGACACCATTCCATGCTCTGTGTGCCAATGGGATTTCATTTTGCTTTTTTGCAGTATTTCTAAACAGCACAATTTTATCTTTAGATTTTAAATATGTATTCATTATGCGGAGTGGTTCTGGGAAGCTCAACATGCTCTCAATGAGCATTGATAACCACTTGTTTCTAACATCACTACAATATTTTTCCCACTCTTCACGTTTGCCTTTAACTATACGTAGAGCAGGATCACCATGACAGATGGCGTGTAAGTAGTCATGGTGATGTGTGATTGGAGTATCTCCCCCAGTCAATGACGATGGGCAAAGAGGTGCCAAAAATATTGCCGAGTCTTCTCCTAAATGTTCTGCTACACGGCACGCAAATTCTTTAGCCTGGCAAATGACACCATCAGCAATACTCTCACTGGTAGTGCTCGCACCATCGTCAACAGCCTGTGGGTATTTAAGACTGAAGCTCCTCAATGGAATCCGACACTTGGAAACGACACACTTGGGCACGAGCTCTACAGATGTAGCTACTTGAGACACCTCTAAGAGAATAAACCAGAGAGCTTGAGAGGGCCACACTATCTGGTAATCAAGGATGGTATTCAGACCAGCTTCATCAAGACATATATTTTTATAAACAAAATGTATTGGTAAATGTTTACTTAATTTAACCAGGTGATTGAAGTGGCATTCATCACCAACAACAACAACATCTTTGAAAAGAGGCTTTATTTCATTTTGAGACTGTCCAGATTTGTCCAGCAATGGCACCAGAACCTGGTTAGTAGTACCTGGCACCGCAGTAACAGAGGGACTCAACCTTTCACCAGTTTCAATGCTACCAACACATTCTTCATGAAGATTTGATAGAGCCAATTTTATCACATCTTTCATCATACTTATCCATGGATAAGTCAAATATCTAAAATTCTTATTGCTTTCAATAGACACAAATTTTGTATTTTGGTTCATAATCACAAAATCGGTCATCATAGACGAAAATCTGTCAACCATTCCTTCAATAAATGAACTACACCAAGTTTCACTAAGCTTATTGTAAAGAGTCTTCAAAATAAGCACATCTGAATGGCTGATAACATAAGCAGAATTTTTGGAGACTGCATGGTGCAAATCTTTATGATTTATAAAAGCCTCTTCACATACAACTGAAACTGGTATTAGTGGCACCAACAATGCCTTACCATTGGGCCCCAATTCCTTTTGCACACGATCCTTCAAATTATTAACGTTTGTTATTATGTCAGATACGCGACTGTAAATTTCATTTTCTGAGGGTGTATCAGTGTTGCCAACATATCTAATGCTTGATATGGGATGCAAACATCCATTATCTCCACAACTATTACAGATGTGGAATTGAACAAAACTATAAATACCCAATGGTAATAGCCATAACGCATTTCTAGTTGTGTGATTCAAACTGCGGCGTACTACTTGAGGGATGCTGGTAAAATTCAGGTTATCCTCCATGATTACAGTCACCTGCAATAAAAGAAACAGTTGAATATACAAGTAAAAATAGTTACATCTTATTTAGAAAAGATGTTTGAAAAGGGATGCCCGATAAATAAATTTTCTAGCACCATAAGGTTTTTGGTGTGAAAAGAAAGAATACAGTAAATACATACATAATACATTAAGACAAAATCACCCTCGACTGTTTCCCAGGTGAACAGCCAGGATCCAAACAAAACACTGTCAAGAGGCCAAGCTCTTGACAACCTTCACTCCACCATGATAAGTACCTTTGGAAATAGTCTAGCCACATCATTAGGTAGCAGAGATAAGGACAAGTACTCTTAATAATGATGTGGTATTAAATGTAAACAATGAATAAACCAATACAACTTCATACAGTGAAACAGCTCTCTCAACACCCCCCACCAAGCAATAAGGGATGCCAATTCCTTGTGTTACTAAACACAATGAATACCACTCTAAACTACTAAATTATTGAGAAAACTACCTATGTCCACTACAGGATACAGGGAGACGAGGAGTCACAATAACGTGGCTGAAATATGTTGACCAAACCACACTATAGAAAGCGAAGGGACGACGACGTTTCGGTCCGTCCTGGACCATTCTCACAATCAACTTTAGAATGGTCCAAGACAGACCGAAACGTCGTCGTCCCTTCACTTTCTAGTGTGTTGTTTGGTCAATAGGATACAGGGAGGCAAATGAAGAACCAAAAGAGGGCTAAATGCCTCTATACCAGGGGACCCCACTCCACAGTGCAAACAATTCATCCTCCAAACACAAAAACAAATGAGGGATAAAGCAAGGACCCTTACTAGAGCTGCCTGCTAACAAAAAACCTTTCTGAGCATGCCTGGGATTTAACTCTCAATGTGCAGCTATTTTCAAAATTGTCACCTCAACTTTGTGCAACAAAACCAATGTTGAATGTAATGAAGTCTCTCTTTCTTGAGGAACTTCGGTGGCTCCCTGTAGTCACTAAGCTGCTGCTTGGCTATCTTGAGGTTATCTTGAGATGATTTCGGGGCTTAATGTCCCCGCGGCCCGGTCCTCGCCCAGGCCTCCACCCCCAGGAAGCAGCCCGTGACAGCTGACTAACTCCCAGGTACCTATTTACTGCCTATTTTTTACCTCTTTACGATTTTACTACCTGTACCTACAATTTTGTACCTTTTTACTACCTATTTTATGCTAGCTCACAATCTATCAAGTCACACCAGCTCCTTGAGTCAATAAAATCCTACCAGGTACCAGAGGCCAAAACCTATTCCCCCCCCCTCCCTAACAGAGGTAGAGAGAGATCAGAGAATACGTGATTACCCTCACCATAAAAAAAACAGCAGAACGTAGAGCAAAGCAAAACAGACAGCAGCAAGTTATTAAATGTAAACAAATATTCTCCCTCTACACCATAGCTGCCGTTTCAGTGCTGAATGTAATGAGAGGTAATGGAGTATTGTTAGAAATATCACAGCACTTAATATAGTTGAAAGGTGCAAGTTAGCCTAAGAGTACTCACCTGAGGAGATTCAAGTTTCTTAAAGAGATGCCTATACCGCTCATTGGCAAAAATGACGACATGAGAGAACTGCTGTTCCTCAACACATCTGGAACAGTTGCAAAGCATAAAATATTGTAATGATTGACAGGCTGATTTTAATATAGTTACAAAGTCATGGTCTGTATACAATTAGTGTGTGCAGTACAGATATTCCTTATTATATGGTAACTCTGTGAACAGATTTTCACTACTGTATTATGTAACAAAATAGAGAATTATTTTTATGTGGTACATTAAATTTGTATCTATTATCTACCTTGGGCAGCAGTCATCGTCACATGTTGATTCACGGAGTAATGCAGTAATTGTCAATTGACAATTTAAGGAACTATTGTCTAGGTTTTACACACACGATGCAAATAAGGATATAAAAGGTTTAAATACGAATGTAATGGAGTTTACCTTGGCCCATGAACAACAATCCTGCTACCATTTCACAGTTAAGTGTACTAAGAGGAGCCAACTGTCATGTGTGTACACCACATTGGTGGCTTAAGCCTTTCTATCTATACTCTCGCCCATATGGTGCCAATTAGGTCACATGTCATCGTCCAGAGCCAAATATCATTGTATATTATGTTCACTATTCTCTATGGTTGTAATGGAGTATACCAGGTAAACCAATCATCAATTGAAACATATGTTATTGAAACAATTGTGTTGAATAACTTTATAAATCACAATTCATACAACACACACTTGTAAATAAAGAGAAACAAGTGAAAATCAGTGAAACATCCAAGGATAAAACAGGAAGTGTCTGCAAAGTCGAGCACCGGGTGTTGACAGGTCTCAGCACGTTCACTGCAAGCATCGTGTGTTAACAGGTCTCAAGACACGTTCACTGCGAGCACCAGGTGTTAACAGGTCTCAAGACACGTTCACTGCAAGCACCGGGTGTTAACAGGTCTCAAGACACGTCCACTGCGAGCACCGGGTATTAACAGGTCTCGGACACAATCACTGCGCAACATTCCTAAGCACCTCCACCCAGTGAAACGATAAATATTCACTCATTTTCTTGTTTTTCTTACATTTTGCATACAAATTAATAATTCTATAATGCTTTTTTTTTTGTGCATAGGCGACATGACCATTCTGTAAAAGCCACTGACAGAGGGTTAATTTTAAATTGATTAATATTTTTTTTTTCTTTGAGATGGTCCCAATAATTTAGCACCCATAAGAACCATCCATCAGAGAACCATTCAACAATAAGAAAAATCATCTATCAGAAAACCATCCAAAATCATGATTATTAAAATCATACAGCTATCATAGAACCTTCCAACCATCAGAATACTATCCTTAGAGAACCACCCAACGAACAATCATCCAACCATCGGAGAACCATTCACCAGAGGACCATATAACCACACTTATTGATGTGAAGAAGTATTATTATACAGGTCATGAAATATTTCACAACCGTCAAATAACTGAAGATAATTTAAGCACAGTTAGGGAAAAAATCTTACTTTTCTAATACTCTTTGTTGCCGAGACTTGTCTGATGATGTTGGACGCCCGCATTTGTAATGATGTTCAACAAAGAAATCTTGATTCTTTTGAGTAGCAAAGTCAATCTGTAACTTTCTGCCATTCAGCACCTGACCACGCATTTCATTTACTGCTGAATCTGCGTGGCTTACCTGAGAAAAAGACAAGTTTATAACCGTGTTAACATTAAGTTCTAAAAGCCAGATATGCTACAATACTGTACTAAACACAGGTATGTACATTTAAACAATTACATAATAATGATAAATCAATATTAAGGGCATTTAAATGAATAAATGCATATCAATGAATTGTACTGGATATCAATGCTTTCCTTTTGAAACACTACACGACTACAAACTAATAAAAATCTTAATTTAATTAAAACTTTTTGCCCTGACTTTTGACCAAGAATTACCAATACTGTATTGCTATACTGTACTGTATTCACAAACATTTCTGATTCTGGCGTATTGTTAACGCTCTGAGTTTCCTCCAACATCAATTCAATATTGATACTGAATTCAATTCCTTGAACCCCCCCTGTTCAAGGCAGGGGGGGGGGGGGGTTCAGATGCTTGGGGCTAGCCTGTCAGGGGAGTCTGACAGCTGAGTGAGTGGGGCCTGACAGCCGAGTGGACAGCGCTTCAGATTCGTAGTCCTAAGGTTCCGGGTTCAATCCCCGGTGGAGGCAGGGATCGAATTTAAGGTATAGGGAGAATGCTTTAATTACTGGGAGAATGCTTAAATTACAATGTGTTTGTACTTACAGTTTCATAAAAAATGAGAGCATGTTCCTTTCTCCTGTCAATGACTGTGCGAATGACTGGGCCGAATTGAGAAAACTGTTCACATAGCTGCCCTTCTGTCACCGTTTTAGGTACACCTTCGATCCAAACACAATCAGTCGGCTTGACTATAGCAAAGAATAGCTTAATGTGTTTAGTCCCCAAATACTCTCCGTCCATCTGTCTCATTGCCCATACCACTGATCGGATGTTCGAATATTGACACAGGGCATAACCTGGTATATTTTTCTGCATGATATTAATCTCCTGTAAAAGATAGCAATGTACAAGGAATTTAGTTACTGACAAAATCCACAATTACCAAATTGTTTATGCAAGACTTAACACAGAAGCAATAAACAAACTGATTAATAACATTAGTTCTACTTAAACACTACAACTCAAATGCCATTGATAAGGAGTTCCTGGGAGTGTGTGTATGATGGAACTTGAATTTCCTTTCATGTAAACGAGCTTTACTCGTAATCCATACATTTAAAATAAAATCATTCTTATAACTCATATGACACTGACAAAAGGAGTCAAGAAACATAAGTCAGATAATCCAACAATCATACTCACAATAATTTCACCAAATCGCTTAAAATGTTTCTCGAGTTCTTCTACCGTAACATCCTTGTCCAAGTTTCCTATGAAGAGGGTGCGGGTTGCTTTTGGGTGGTACTCATCCATTTCAATATTAAATGCTTTACATTCACTCTTGTTCAATTCCACCCCTTCATGCGGTGCAACCTGCAAAAATCACATGTAGCTAAAAAAAACAAGCACTATGAGAACAAAATCTGACACTGTAATCAAAATTACACACAATGCTCATGCTTTCTGAATGTCATGTCTTCACCCTGAAAGTAACGCTAAATATAAGCTTTCTCTTGTTCGAGCAGAAACTTTAATAAAGTCATAACCCTATCAAGATCTCTAACCCTTAAATGGCCCCAGTCACTGTGATTACATCCTACACTGTTTAAGGAAAAAAGCACAGTTCCTTCTTGAGAAGGAACTGTGCAAACTGAATTTTTACTGAACAAAATTCTTTGCAACTGGAAATAAAAAAGACGCAGGTTTTAAATATGCTCAGTGGCCTTCCCAAGGCCCCAACTATTTCTTGTAATGTTGCCTCCATCCATGACCTTGGTCCCAACATCCTAAGCAAATCCACACATCCCTGCTTCAGCAAACTCTTGTTCATTGAATCGGGTGAGTAAACCCCGCATGGAAAGCGAGTGTTCTAACCGGAGATTCTCCAAATCAAGGTTCATTGAATCGAGGTTCCACTGTAATTGCACTAAAAGAAATTAAGAATGTTTAAAGATCAACAAAATTGGGGACAAAACAGTATCCTGTAAGACTTTGAAGAACATTAGGTAGGCAGACCAGCCCTTTCTGAAGTATACTTCACAATACAATACTATACTCCAATCTTTGGACACCTTTATGCAGCATCAGCTCATTAATTATAACACAGTATAGGGGTACCTCGGTTTAAGAGTTTAATCCGTTCCTGGAGACAGCTCATAACCCGGAAACGCGTAAACCGAATTTAATTTCCCCATAAGAAATAATGGGAAATGAATTAATCCATTCCTGACTACCCAAAAACTTCACTTCAAACTAAATTTTATACCCAATTCATCCAAATCTACACTACAAAAGTATGTTCAAGTTATTACTTAGCCTTGCTGATGACTCCTGTTGGCATATGGAAGATGGTGAGCAGGGAGGAGGAGAGGTGTTACTGTTTGGAAGGGGAGTCCCCTTCCATTATAACATCAGGCAGTGAAGATTTTTCTGGAGTGCACTCTCTGGCACGTTTTGCCTGCATACCACTAGGTCCTAGTTGTGGCTCACTGCTTGATTTTCTCACAACGAAACAATCCATTGAAGATTGATTTTCCCTTCTTTGCAACACTTGTCTGTAGTAAATCATCACATTGTCATTTAAAAGGTCAATGCAATGGCCTGCTACAGCTTTATCTGGGTGATTTTTTCAACAAAACTTTGCAGTTCTTCCCATACTTCACACATTTTCTTAATGAGGAAGGGACATCCCCTACTGCCTCTACTCAACTATTTTCTTAGGTTGAACCTTACCACTGGCTTTCTTGGGACCCATGGCAAGATATATAATAACTTTTATGCTCAAATGGCCAAAAATCCGACAAAAAACTGTAAATCCTTGTGAAGAATTCAGGCGGGATAGTCACTGGGCACGAGGCACTGGTAAACTATGGTGCGATCGCCGTGCCACCACGTACTAGGTTGGCCCATACACGTATCAACAAACTCGTAACCCGAAAAACTCGTAAACAGGGACGCTTGTACCCGGGGTTCCACTGTACTAATATTCAAATATCAGCATACATACTTATTACAAAATGTTTATAGTGTCTATGCTTGGTAATCCAAATCATAGGGGTCCAAGCCCCACACTTGAATTGGCCAACACATCAGAAATGTCAAAAAATGCACATTAAATTTGATTCAGGTTTCTTGTAAACCAGAAATCTTAGTAACCTGAATTTTAATGAGTTAAGAAGTTAAGCACTGAAACTCAAATTCATTCGAGTTTTTTGTTTAGTGTAATCTTTTAACCCATATTCCCCTTCGGGTTAAATGGTTAGAATGGATCAAAGACTTGAACATGAATTCATTCGGATTACTCAGATTTGGGTTACCAGAATCCAAATTACCAAACCCTTACATTATTGATCATATCAAACACTATCATTATATTTCTTACACAAATACATGATAATTACCTGAGTGGTTACCATGGCACCTGCCATCAAGGACGAAGTGCTGACATTTACTGGAAATTTATTACAAATTGTTGTTGCCTCTGAGGTCACTGGTGACTTCTCAGTGGAAATTGTTGCAGCTTCTGGTCTCAACTCTGGTATGGTGAATGCCAACTCTCTCATACCCATGCTGGTTGTTGACACACTAGTACAACTAATATTAATTGTCTTACTAATGTTAGATATGGCAACTGCCATCTCTCTACCATCAGTTGAAGCCCCTACTACTGCCTCTTCAGTAGCAGCGGCACCAACTGCCGCCTTTTCAATAGCGGTGGCGCTAACTGCCGCCTTTTCAATAGCAGTGGCGCCAACTGCCGCCTTTTCAATAGCAGTGGCGCCAACTGCCGCCTCTTCAGCACTAGCCATGGAACCTGCCGCCTCTTCAGTACTAGCCGTAGAAACTGCCGCCTCTTCAGCACTACCCGTGGACACTGCAGTCTCTTCAGCACTAGCCGTAGCAACTGCTGCATCTTCAGCCATACCAGTGGCAACTGCAGCCTCAGCACTACCAGTGGCAACTGCTGCCTCTTCAGCACTACCCGTGGCAACTCCTGCCTCTTCAGCACTACCTGTGGCAACTGCCACCTCTTCAGCACTACCCGTGGCAACTGCCGCCTCTTCAGCACTACCCGTGACAACTGCCGCCTCTTCAGCACTACCCGTGGCAACTGCAACCTCTTCAGCACCAGCAGTGGCAACTGCAGTCTCTTCAGCACTAACCATGGCAACTGCAGTCTCTTTAGCACTAGCCATGGCAACTGCAGTTTCTTCAACACTAGCCATGGCAACTCCCCTCTTTTCAGCACTACCCATGGCAACTGCAATCTCTTCGGTACTAGCCGTGGCAACTGCAGTCTCTTCGGCACTAGACGTGGCAACTGCCGCCTCTTCAGCACTAGACTTGGCAACTGCCGTCTTTTGGGTACTAGCAGTGGCAACTGCAGTCTCTTCGGCACTAGCAGTGGCAACTGCAGTCTCTTCAGCATTAGCAGTGGCAACTGCAGTCTCTTCAGCACTGGCTGTGGCAACTGCAGTCTCTTCAGCACTAGCAGTGGCAACTGCAGTCTCTTCAGCACTAGCAGTGGCAACTGCAGTCTCTTCAGCACTAGCAGTGGCAACTGCAGTCTCTTCAGCACTAGCAGTGGCAACTGCAGTCTCTTCAGCACTAACCATGGCAACTGCAGTCTCTTCAGCAATAGCCGTGGCAACTGTCATTTCTTCAGCGCTAGCCATGGTAACTGCAGTCTCTTTGGTACAAGACGTGGCAACTGCCACCTCTTCAGCAATAGCCATGGCAATTGCAGTCTCTTCGGTACTAGCAGTGGCAACTGCAGTCTCTTCGGCACTAGCCGTGGCAACTGCCATCTCTTCGGCACTAGCCGTGGCAACTGCCGTCTCTTCGGCACTAGCCGTGGCAACTGCCGTCTCTTCGGCACTAGCCGTGGCAACTGCCGTCTCTTCGGCACTAGCCGTGGCAACTGCCGTCTCTTCAGCACTAGCCGTGGCAACTGCAGTCTCTTCGGCACTAGCCGTGGCAACTGCCGTCTCTTCGGCACTAGCCGTGGCAACTGCCGTCTCTTCGGCACTAGCCGTGGCAACTGCCGTCTCTTCGGCACTAGCCGTGGCAACTGCAATGTCTTCGGCACTAGCCGTGGCAACTGCCGCCCCTTCGGCACTAGACGTGGCAACTGCCGCCCCTTCGGCACTAGACGTGGCAACTGCCGCCCCTTCGGCACTAGACGTGGCAACTGCCGCCCCTTCGGCACTGGACGTGGCAACTGCCGCCCCTTCGGCACTGGACGTGGCAACTGCCGCCCCTTCGGCACTGGATGTGGCAACAGCCGCCCCTTCGGCACTTGACGTGGCAACTGCCGCCCCTTCGGCACTGGACGTGGCAACTGCCGCCCCTTCGGCACTGGACGTGGCAACTGCCGCCCCTTCGGCACTGGACGTGGCAACTGCCGCCCCTTCGGCACTGGACGTGGCAACTGCCGCCCCTTCGGCACTGGACGTGGCAACTGCCGCCCCTTCGGCACTGGACGTGGCAACTGCCGCCCCTTCGGCACTGGACGTGGCAACTGCCGCCCCTTCGGCACTGGACGTGGCAACTGCCGCCCCTTCGGCACTGGACGTGGCAACTGCCGCCCCTTCGGCACTGGACGTGGCAACTGCCGCCCCTTCGGCACTGGACGTGGCAACTGCCGCCCCTTCGGCACTGGACGTGGCAGCTGCCGCCCCTTCGGCACTGGACGTGGCAGCTGCCGCCCCTTCGGCACTGGACGTGGCAGCTGCCGCCCCTTCGGCACTGGACGTGGCAGCTGCCGCCCCTTCGGCACTGGACGTGGCAGCTGCCGCCCCTTCGGCACTGGACGTGGCAGCTGCCGCCCCTTCGGCACTGGACGTGGCAGCTGCCGCCCCTTCGGCACTGGACGTGGCAGCTGCCGCCCCTTCGGCACTGGACGTGGCAGCTGCCGCCCCTTCGGCACTGGACGTGGCAGCTGCCGCCCCTTCGGCACTGGACGTGGCAGCTGCCGCCCCTTCGGCACTGGACGTGGCAGCTGCCGCCCCTTCGGCACTGGACGTGGCAGCTGCCGCCCCTTCGGCACTGGACGTGGCAGCTGCCGCCCCTTCGGCACTGGACGTGGCAGCTGCCGCCCCTTCGGCACTGGACGTGGCAGCTGCCGCCCCTTCGGCACTGGACGTGGCAGCTGCCGCCCCTTCGGCACTGGACGTGGCAGCTGCCGCCCCTTCGGCACTGGACGTGGCAGCTGCCGCCCCTTCGGCACTGGACGTGGCAGCTGCCGCCCCTTCGGCACTGGACGTGGCAGCTGCCGCCCCTTCGGCACTGGACGTGGCAGCTGCCGCCCCTTCGGCACTGGACGTGGCAGCTGCCGCCCCTTCGGCACTGGACGTGGCAGCTGCCGCCCCTTCGGCACTAGACGTGGCAGCTGCCGCCCCTTCGGCACTAGACGTGGCAGCTGCCGCCCCTTCGGCACTAGACGTGGCAGCTGCCGCCCCTTCGGCACTAGACGTGGCAGCTGCCGCCCCTTCGGCACTAGACGTGGCAGCTGCCGCCCCTTCGGCACTAGACGTGGCAGCTGCCGCCCCTTCGGCACTAGACGTGGCAGCTGCCGCCCCTTCGGCACTAGACGTGGCAGCTGCCGCCCCTTCGGCACTAGACGTGGCAGCTGCCGCCTCTTCGGCGCTAGACGTGGCAGCTGCCGCCTCTTCGGCACTGGACATGGCAGCTGCCGCCTCTTCGGCACTGGACGTGGCAGCTGCCACCTCTTCGGCACTGGACATGGCAGCTGCCGCCTCTTCGGCACTGGACGTGGCAACTGCCGCCTCTTCAGCACTAGACGTGGCAACTGCCGCCTCTTTGGCACTAGATGTGGCAACTGCCATCTCTTCGGCACTAGACGTGGCAACTGCTGTCACTTCAGCACTAGCCATGGCAACTGCCGTATCTTCAGCACTAGCCGTGGCAACAGCAGTATCTTCAGCACTAACCGTGGCAACTTCCATCTCTTCAGCATAAGCCGTGGCAACTGATGCCTCTTCAGCACTAGCCGTGGCAACTGCCTCATCTTCAGCACTAGCCGTGGCAACTGCAGTCTCTTCAGTACTAGCCGTGGCAACTGCTGACTCTTCAGCACTAGCCGTGGGCACTGCAGTCTCTTCAGCACTAGCTGTGGCAACCGCCTTCTCTTCAGCACACGCCGTGGCAACTACAGTCTCTTCAGCACTAGCCGTGGCAACTACAGTCTCTCCAGCACTAGCCATGGCAACTACAGTCTCTTCAGCACTTCCTGTGGCAACTGCAGCCTCCTCAGTACTAGCCGTGGCAACTGCCATCACTTCAGCACTACCTGTGGCAACTGCCGTCTCTTCAGCACCAGCCATGGCAACTGCTCTGGAAATTGTCATCTCTTCAGCACTACCTGTGGCAACTGCCGTCTCTTCAGCTGTGGCAACTGCCGTCTTTTCAGAACTAGCCGTGGCAACTGTTGTCTCTTTAGCACTAGCCATGCAATCTGCCGTCTCTTTAGCACTAGCCGTGGCAACTGCCATCTCTTCAGCACTAGCCGTGGCAACTGCCATCTCTTCAGCACTAGCCGTGGCAACTGCCATCACTTCAGCACTAGCCGTGGCAACTGCCGTCTCTTCAGCACTAGCCGTGGCAACTGGCAACTGCCATCTCTTCAGCACTAGCCGTGGCAACTGCCATCTCTTCAGCACTAGCCGTGGCAACTGCCATCTCTTCAGCACTAATCATGGCAACTGCCTTCTCTTCAGCACTAGCTGTGGCAACTGCCATCTCTTCAGCACTAGCTGTAGCAACTGCCTTCACTTCAGCACTAGCCGTGGCAACTGCCATCTCTTCAGCACTGGCTGTGGCAACTGCCGTCACTTCAGCACTGGCTGTGGAAACTGCAGTCTCTTCAGCACTAGCTGTGGCAACTGCAGTCTCTTCAGTAATAGCCATGGCAACTGGCGCCTCTTCAGTACTAGCCGTGGCAATTGCAGTTTCTTCTATACACGCTGTGGCTATTCTTGTTTTTTGAGTAAATGCAATAGTGAAGCCTGCTGCCTTTACAGTAAGTGTTTGGTTATCTTTTAACTTTCCAGTGTCAGCCTGGGTTGCTACCCTGGCTCCGGCAACAGTCATACTCATCTTCCCAGCAGTGACCAGTTTAGTGTCCATTTCACTAGCATTTGCCAAATTGACATCCATTATTCCATCTGTAGCATGATCAATGCCCTTCTCTCCAGTTATGATCAAGTTGGTTTCATTCTTTCCAGCATTGGGTGGGTCATTGACTCCAGCATCGGGTGAGGCGACTCCGGCATCAGGTGGGGCGACTTTCATCCTTACAGTAATAGCTGGGTTGAAAACTGCAGTGGGTTGATCAATTCTATTCTTGAAACCCTTTGCACGACCAATTTTCTTCCCAAGGGATGGTGCACTAATATGTTCTCTTCTGGGAGACTTTGTGGGTTCAGCCAAACTCGTAAGAAAACCTGCATTGTTACCTCTTGAACTGGTATATTTTGAAATCTGAGTTCTTGTTCTGAGAGATGTAACAAGAACAGCTGCTGCTTTAGATCTTGTAATCTTAATTTCACCATCTTCTGATAGTTTTTTTAATATATTTGTCGTTCTACAGATTTTTGTTTGACCTAATTCAATACTTTCAGTTTCTGATATACGAGATCTGGCTTGTTTTTTACGTTCTGGAGTATTAAGACTAACTGATACAGAATTTTTACTATCAGTTTCCACTCTAGTAGATTTTGGAGTATTAGCTTCATCAGCCTTTAATTTTACACTATTAGCTTTCAGTACAAAAGGCTTTTCGATACAAGCTCCCGATATATCGGATTGCTCAAGATTACTTTTATTATTACATTTTTCAGTATCATGTTTGGAGATACTTTGCGTAACATTACAGATACCAGAAACAGATTTTGCTGCATCATTTTCTGTCAGAGAGAATACTGCACAGTCATCATCTATAACGGGACACAGTGCAGTGTCGGCTTGAGTGGTGATAATGGCTGTGGCTGGGATCGACGCGACAAATTTTTTCTCATTGGTTTCCAATGTGGTGGATTTGGAAGTTACAGGTTTAGTGGAACATTTTCCAGTTTTAGAACCTGCTAGAATGGGTAATGAAATATCACACAAAGCCGTAAACGACTTGGCTCGAGTGACACGCCCCACATTCTCAGTGATTACTTTTCCAGATTCTACAGCACTTTGCACTTTTGAGTTAGATTTTGTAGTGATTTCTTTTTTAACAGTTGTAATGGAGTCTGCACCTGTTTTTGTAGAGATTTTTGTATTACTTGATGTTTTAATGGCCTCTGAAGAATGGGCATCAGATGATGGAATTTTTGCCATATCACCCAGGGTCTCTGATTCTGCTGAACTCGATCCTGCACTGAATTTCTTATCGTCAGCATCTGTTGCGGTACCTTTAAAAGACTCGGATTTTAAGACCAAGTTAGTAATATCAGCCTTTACTCTAACCTTGGAAGCATTTTTGCTTTTAAATTTTGCAGTATTAGTTCTCATTCCGGATCTCAAATTCCGATTATCACTTGTAGCAGATCTTATTTTATATATTTTTCTTATGAATTTACTTGTATTTTTTGTAAGTGATTTTGCCAAACTATATCTTGTCTTACTAGATTTTTCAGATTTATTTGATGTTAGTGTGGAAGCTGTATTAAATCTGGTTTTGGCATCTATTACATTTTCTGACTTATTTACATGTGTCCCCCCAGCAGTTTCTGAACTATTTGTATTACTAGTTTCTCTTTGAACCTTTACAGAATCATATTTGCTTGTACTGCATTCTGTTGTACCACATTTTGTGGTGAAATCTGAAGCAGCAGATTCTAGTGTTGATTCTCCAGTATTTGCTCTAGACCTGGTTAATCTGATGCCAGCAGTATTTAGCTTATCATTTAAATACTTTGCTTCTGACTTGCTTACACTTGTATTATTTGTTTCCATTTCTACTAGGGAACCAGTACCTTGTTTGTGATGCTGCCCGATATCCAGGCTTAGTTTTAAAGTGTCCTTAGAATCATCTTCACTTGTGGTGAATTCACTTGTTGAAAATTTTGTTTTATCAGACAAAACTGTTGATATTTTATTATCAGCTCCCATTAAGGAGGACTTTAAAGTAGCTCTTGTCCTTATTGTGCAAGACTTTAAATCATCAACTGGCACTAGACATTTGGAAAGGTCAGGTACTCTGATAGATTTTGCAATAGAATGCTTTGATTGGGGAGACTTTACAGTATCAGATCTTTTTCTATACGACCTTTCCTCAGAATCTTCTGGAGACTTTCTTTTATCAGCTATTATGGGGTCCTCTGAAATACTAATAGTTTTCGAGGTGGATTTTTCATTAGTCTCTCTATGTACGAACTTCAATGAGTCCGGTTTTGACTCAAATTTTACAAAATCAACTTCTGATACAGTAGGCTCTGCCTTATCAATTTCTGTGTTTGATTTTACTAGTTTGCATTTGAATGGCAATTTTCCAACATCTCTTTCATACAACACTGCTGTATCTGATCTTGTTTCTAACTTTTCCATATTAAACCTTGCATTTGATTCTTCGTTATTTATTCTTGCACTTATATTTGCAGTATTTAATCCAGCCTTTGATTTTGCAACATTCAATCTTGTAACAGATTTCATAGTATTTAATTTGACATTTGATTTCACATTATTTAATCTGGTGCTTGATTTAATGGTAGACTTGACAGAATTAACTCTCTTGACTGACCTGCCAGCGTAAATTCTCGTGCTCGGCCTAGCAGCACCAACTCGTGTGTCCGCGCTAACAGCACCAATTCTCATGGCCAAATTAATAACAGTTCTTCTTGCTGAACTAACAGCAACACTCCTCACAGCAGACCTAGTAGCTCTCGTGGGTGACTTTGCAGTAAAAGCCCTTGTGGCCGAGCCGACAGCCCCGGTTTCCGTGGCCGAGCCGGCAGACTCTGCTTTTCTGGCCGAGCCGGCAGCCTCCGCTTTGCTGGCCGAGCCGGCAGCCTCCGCTTTGCTGGCCGAGCCTGCAGCCTCCGCTTTTCTGGCCGAACCTGCAGCCTCCGCTTTTCTGGCCGAACCTGCAGCCTCCGCTTTTCTGGCCGAACCTGCAGCCTCCGCTTTTCTGGCCGAACCTGCAGCCTCCGCTTTTCTGGCCGAACCTGCAGCCTCCGCTTTTCTGGCCGAACCTGCAGCCTCCGCTTTTCTGGCCGAACCTGCAGCCTCCGCTTTTCTGGCCGAACCTGCAGCCTCCGCTTTTCTGGCCGAACCTGCAGCCTCCGCTTTTCTGGCCGAACCTGCAGCCTCCGCTTTTCTGGCCGAACCTGCAGCCTCTGCTTTTCTGGCCAAACCTGCAGCCTCCGCTTTTCTGGCCAAACCTGCAGCCTCCGCTTTTCTGGCCAAACCTGCAGCCTCCGCTTTTCTGGCCATATCGGTTGGCTCAAGTTTTCTGGCCAAACTGGCAGCCTCAGCTTTTCCGGCCAACTCAGATGTACTAATTTTATGGGATGATCCTACAATATCAGATCGTTTGGCCGAGCTAACAATGTCAGATCTTTTGGTCGGCCCAGCAATACAAGATCCTTTGGGTGATCCACCAATATTGGCTCCCGGAAATAATTTTGCATAATCATCTTTCATTACTTTTACATTATCTGTATCAGTATTAGCTTGTGTGGCAACTTGTCTAGTAGAAACTCCTGATGTTAACGATTTTATGGAATCGTCATCGTATCTTGGAGATTCTGTAGCGCTAAATTGTTTTGAAGATGATGTGACATCTGTGCTTCTGAGCATCGATCTTGCATACGAATGTGCCAAAGCAGCTCTGACTGGACCATCTTTAACTGTCATCTGAATATGTTCATTTATTTTTTCAGCTATTTTTTTTCTGAAAGTTTCTTCCACACTGGCTTTTACATAACTACTGCATAACGAGCTCCTTGATCTTCTGAGTTTTGCACTGTTATCCATCACGACCGCACCGGCATTGTCTGGGTCAAGTTTAACTATAACCTTCACATGGTCACAACTTTTTTTCCCTGCTATTTTTCTATCGTCTAATGCCGCTGCTATGGCTTTTAGTGATTTATTTCTTAATGAATGCTTTGATCTTGTGATTTTCACACTATTGCCTATCACTTCTGAGGCTCTTGTACTGATGGCTGTCAATGTAACTGCCTCATTCTTAGTTGTTAATACACTAGACTCTGAATCTTCAATACTAACCGGTACTGCATGGTTACCTTCAATTTCCTCCTGCTTTATACTTTGGTTAGCACCTGATGCATGCCCGTTTCCAAGAGCAACTGTCTCTTGAAGATCTGTTTCAGTCTTGTAACTATTTTCTATTGTACAATCTATGTTTTGAGAACTGCTTCTTATATTTCTCGTCGTTTTTTTTCTCTCTGTCGCCAAAAGTGGTTTAGAATATTTCTTAACTAACCTTTTTACTGTACTCTTATGCTCAGAAGCCATCAAGCCTCTATTACCATCTTTGTTAAGCTCCTGCCTTATTAAGGAACATTTTGTGCCATTTAATTTTCTCTTGGATGACATTTCACTCTGACGACTGTTGTGGATATCTTTCAGTTTCTTTGTCTTAGAAGCAAACTGAAAAACATAAGAAAACAGTATTAGAGACTGGTTAAAAAATAAATCCTAACTACATAGAGGACTGTATGCAGAATCCACTTTGGAAACCACAACTTGTGACTAGCTTATTCCTACAATAACCCTCAATATGCAGCTATCATAAAAGGTGCCACTCTGCCCATGCATAAAAAAATTCTTATAAAAGAATACCGTGAGGTTGCAGTTTGAACATCACACAGCACTCTTCCCTACACAGCAAGTCAACAAAACTCCTCAAGTGTGTAATTACCTAAGTGTAATTACCTAAGTGTAGTTACAGGATGAGAGCTACGCTCGTGGTGTCCCGTCTTCCCAGCACTCTTTGTCATATAACGCTTTGAAACTACTGACGGTCTTGGCCTCCACCACCTTCTCACTTAACTTGTTCCAACCGTCTACCACTCTATTTGCGAAGGTGAATTTTCTTATATTTCTTCGGCATCTGTGTTTAGCTAGTTTAAATCTATGGCCTCTTGTTCTTGAAGTTCCAGGTCTCAGGAAGTCTTCCCTGTCGATTTTATCAATTCCTGTTACTATTTTGTACGTAGTGATCATATCACCTCTTTTTCTTCTGTCTTCTAGTTTTGGCATATTTAATGCTTCTAACCTCTCCTCGTAGCTCTTGCCCTTCAGTTCTGGGAGCCACTTAGTAGCATGTCTTTGCACCTTTTCCAGTTTGTTGATGTGCTTCTTAAGATATGGGCACCACACAACAGCTGCATATTCTAGCTTTGGCCTAACAAAAGTCATGAACAACTTCTTTAGTATATCGCCATCCATGTATTTAAATGCAATTCTGAAGTTAGAAAGCATTGCATAGGCTCCTTGCACAATATTCTTAATGTGGTCCTCAGGTGATAGTTTTCTATCTAGAACCACTCCTAGATCTCTTTCTTTATCAGAATTCTTTAAAGATTTCTCACATAATATATAGGTTGTGTGGGGTCTATGTTCTCCTATTCCACATTCCATAACATGACATTTATTAACATTAAATTCCATTTGCCAAGTGGTGCTCCATATACTTATTTTGTCCAGGTCTTCTTGAAGGGCATGACAATCTTTCTTATCCTTCCTATTATCTTAGCATCATCAGCAAACATGTTCATATAATTCTGTATACCAACTGGTAGATCATTTATGTACACAATAAACATCACTGGTGCAAGAACTGAACCCTGTGGTACTCCACTTGTGACATTTCTCCATTCCGATACATTGCCTCTGATTACTGCCCTCATTTTTCTATCAGTCAGAAAATTTTTCATCCATGATAGAAGCTTACCTGTCACCCCTCCAATATTTTCCAGTTTCCAGAACAACCTCTTATGTGGAACTCTGTCGAAAGCCTTTTTTAGGTCCAGATAGATGCAGTCAACCCAGCCATCTCTTTCCTGTAATATCTCTGTGGCCCGATCATAGAAACTGAGTAAATTCGATACACAGGATCTTCCTGATCGAAAACCATACTGTCTGTCTGATATTATATCATTTCTCTCCAGGTGTTCTACCCATTTAGTTTTGATTAGCTTTTCCAATACTTTCACTATTACACTTGTCAATGATACAGGTCTATAATTGAGGGGGTCTTCCCTGCTGCCACTTTTGTAGATTGGAACTATGTTAGCCTGTTTCCACACGTCTGCTACGATTCCTGTACACAGGGATGCCTGAAAGATCAGGTGAAGTGGAATGCTGAGCTCAGATGCACATTCTCTCAGAACCCATGGTGAAACGCCATCTGGGCCAGCTGCTTTGTTCCTCCCGAGCTCCTTTAGCATATTTTCCACTTCATCTCTATGTGTGTATGTGTGTGTGAGCAATATTTCTGAGTATCCAACCAAGTGGTTACTTAACCCTTAAACTGCGCATGGCGTATATATACGCCCTGAGTAACATGTCCCATGGTGCGCATGGCGTATATATACGCCATAGGGTGCCAGGCCTGATTCAAATGGCCCGCGGCTACACGGGGTTCACAGTAGCTTCCTCAGGGCTCTTGTAAACAGATGCCATTTTGAAAAAAAATCGTGGGCAATATTCTCAGGTGTGAGAGGCACAGTACTGTTGGAGCAACCAAGGCCGGCACACGCAGCATGAGCGAACAGCATTGATGTTCAGCTTGTGACCACAGCATCGCCGAAAAATGTCAAAATAAATATATAATTGTTATTATTTAGCGATGACAATATTACAGATGACCAATGACTGTGATATAAATAACCAGGGTTGTGATAATAGCAGGATTGTTGTAATAATTAGCGCTGTGGGAGGAGTGATGCTGAGAGACGGAGGGAGACAGCATCGTTTACTAACTGTGTGGCCACCTGTTATTGTTTGCATTCACCATACCAGGTCAGTGGTTCTCTATGGTGAACACAAATGTAGATACTTATATATAATGTGTGTATTAGTGTAATAACAGCAAAAGGATTATGCTGGGAGGAGCCATATGGGTGACGGAGGTGACGTCGTCTGCACGATTTGTCTAGCTGTTTAGAGGGTGGCCACTATGCTCTTTGGGCGCACTACAAGCTTAGGTGTACAGTTACGGTGCATAAAACATGTAGATATTTATATATAATATGTGTATATAGGGTAATAACACTGCAAAAGGTATTGTTGGGGGAGAAAGTTTAGTGCGTGTGACCTTGAAAGAGTGAGGGAGCCGCCAGCCGCCATCTGTATATAGCGACGACTCTTAGTGCCTGAACTAACTATATCAGCTTAGCTGTACAGTTGTGGTGAACAAAATATATACATACTTATATATAACGTCTGTATATAGTGTAATAACACCACAAATGGTATTGTTGGGGATGAAAGTTTAGTGTGTGTGACCTTGAATGAGTGAGGGAGCCGCCAGCCGCCATCTGTGTATAGCGACGACTCTTAGTGCCTGAACTAACTATATCAGCTTAGCTGTACAGTTGTGGTAAACAAAATATATACATACTTATATATAACATCTGTATATAGTGTAATAACACCACAAATGGTATTGTTGGGGGAGAAAGTTTAGTGCGTGTGTTGAGGGAGTGGCAGCGAGTGGCTGGCTGGTGTGTGGCGGTAACTCCTCGTTGCTTTTCGACTCTCAATACCAACTTAGTGGTTCGTTATGGTGACCAAAACATGCCAATACTTATATATAACCTGTGTATAGAGTGTAATAGCAGCAAAACTATTTGTTCATTGTTTTATAAACATAATAATTGAATCACTAATATGCACATCATACTTTTGAGTATAGCGATTATTAACCACTTTTATTATATAAATATATTACAATACACACTATTGAATAATATTACTGCAAAAAAACTAAGAAAAAATCAATCGGAGACATTGAAACAATTAGGTAATAATATCTTTGTGGCAACTCCCATCTGTCAGCGCGGGTGACGCTGACCGGGTCTGACGACCGCTCTGTCAACGCCCACTTTTTGCCAGACTTCCTCGGTCAATTGCGCCCAAAATATGTCACCTACGATTTTTTTTTATTTTTTCCGTGCTCAGGGGACACAAATTAACATGTTTAGAAGACGAAAAAAAAATTTTGAATTTTTTTTTTTCTTGCGCACAGGGGTGTAAATGTCCCAAGGACCCCTGAGCAGTGTAAGGGTTAATCAAGGTGAATTAACATTTAGGTTTCTTTCTTTTGTAATTCCTTAAATAAACATCTGTGCATATTCCTGTACAGTGAATACTAGAGAATGTGATTTTTAAGTTGTTATTAAGTATACCCCGAGAGGGAAGTGTTATTGATCAGTTGGTAATGACCTCTGGTGCTGTTCTGGTGTCCCTCCTCACTGGTCTGAGGAAAAGCGACTGAGGCAGGGCATTATTGTAGAGGTATTCCTTTAATAACTCTGTTGAGTCTGTTGACTCTGAGGTTGTTGGTCCATAGTGACATTAAAGCTTAGTAAGTTCACATTGATTCCAACCTTGCCATGTTAACTTAGATGCACTTTAACTGCAGACAAGTGTACTAATGTTCCTAAGTTTTATGTAAACTAAGCTCGTGACTAGTTTAACTTAATAGCATCTAGTTTAAATCTAGTGTACCAGTTGTCGAGTTTCATGAACCTTAAGCTTGACCTGTTTAACTTGGCATCTAGCTGTAGTTTGAAGTGTCAATGAATACCAAGTTTCATGTAACTGTACATATGTAAATACAGAACTTATGATACAGTACTATTGAGCGTCACCCAGTAAAGTGACAATTCTTTTCCCGAAGACTTTCAATATAGAATACCTGGATTAAATGAGTATGTGATAGATGTGAGGCCAGGTGTGCCTAATATTGAGAATGGGGAGTTTACACCATGAGCCTTGCTTGAGTTTGTACCAGCTTCCTTGGGTTTATTGGGAGTAGAAAGCCTGTGAGGCTTTTCAAGGTAGACGTAGGCCAATGACTGGCCTTCCCCAGGATCAATCCAAAAACAGCCTACCAGCTATCTATTTACCTCTTTGTCAACAGAGGCAGCAGGTGTAAAGAAATGTGCCCAAATGTCTCGGTGTGCCCGGAAATTAAATGAGACCATTCAATTGATCCAAGTGAACTTACCATTGTGCTACATGTCATAAGTCTCTAAACTGTTTATGTAAAAAGTTCAACTATAGTATGCATGGTAATTTCTAATTAAAAAACTATGGAATTATAAATACTAGGAAAAAAATCTGATTTGCTAATAATTTTGATAACAATCACAAAGGAAGATACTTTGCACTATAAATTCTGAGAAACTCACCTGTTGTCCAACTCGACTGTCTGTAACGGAGCTTTCAGAAGCATCAACTGGTTGCATGCCAAGTTTATTCCTGCCCGTACGGTTCAACATATTCTTGGGGTTCTCCTGTGGTAAGAGCGCCTCTGGATCAGGGGCCTTTTTTTTATCTTGCGTGTCCCTAATAGTTCTTCTTAATCTAGTGACTAAACCTGTGGCTGATTTTGTATTTACACAAGATTTCAAGTAACTCTGACTCTGTCCAGACTTATGTGAGATGACATGTTTTGTTTCTGTAGCTGCTGCTCTTAGATGAACTGTGGAACCTGAATTCTTGGAGCAAGATATATTACTTTCATTTTGATTTTGGAGTTCTGAAGAACTTGATGTAGAAATAGATTCATCATCATCTTTGGTTTCCAAATCGGTGTTTATGTTGTTTATAGGAATAGGTTCTGAAGGTCTAGGTTGACTAGAGCTTCTCAACCGTTTTGATGATGAAGCAAGCATTTGATCAGACAATTCAAGACACCTTTTGACTTGCTTATAATATGTAACTTGAAGTGTAGTACTCGATGACTTGGGCGTATTTCCTCTAATCTTGCGTCGAAAAGTCGGTGAAGCACTAGAAGAATGCACCTGGTCATGAGAATTGGGCCCTTTTTCACAAATCTTTTTAGCTCTTTCGGAATATTGTGGATTTTGGGCTGTAAAAGACTTCCGACTGCCACGTACATTATTATCAGCCATTTTCAAAACTGTTAAATTGGAACACAAAGTTCCCTGTCTCACAGAATTACAATTAATCTGACTAGAAATTCCACTGCTAATCTGTTCAGTTCCTCTTTTCTTGCGTCGTTCAGGAGGCATTGTAAGTTAGACGATACTGATAACACACACTGAAAAAATGAAAAAAAAAAAAAAAATTTAGTTAAAAAAATTCAACTCAATTTACATGCATTTACATCTGAAAATCAGTGAGAAAATAGAGAAATTCAACTAAGTCACAATTAATAATTAAAATTATCATACTGTACTGTATTATGCAGCAACCACCATGCATAATAACTAATGTAGATAACCTGGCATGGACTGTAACGAGTCAAGGGGCACCAAGAATACAGACAGGTGCAACGAGTAATGGCAGGTGCAACAGGAGCAGAAGGGTGCACAACAGGAGTAGAAGGGTGCACAACAGGAGCAGAAAGGTGAAACAAAAATACTCGGGGTGCAAAAGTGAGGGAAGTTGCACCACCAGTTCTTTCTGCACCCACCATTACTCGTTGCACCCTCACTGTTGTTGTTGCACAAGAACAGCAGGGTGCAACATGTACCTAGCATGATTACAGAACATTACAGTCCAGCTATATTTAAGCAACCTATTAGCATGAATTCCGACATAATTTAATTGTAAATACAGTGGGCCCTTGCTCGAACAATCGGTGGTCAACAGAAACCCTTAGTTCGGCAGAAAAGTTTTGATAATAAACGAATTCTTGGTGAACCCAATAATGGCATCTACTTAAAGATGTCTTGGTCGGCCTATCTTAGCAACAAAACAGCCATGGTTAACTTTTTCTATTCTGCCTTTATTAGTAAATACCAGTACAGTATTATTATAATACTGAACATAAAATTGCTTTTCAATATTTGCGAAGTATTTTACTTTAATATTTACTAGAAATTATGGTATAGTTTATGGGACTTTTTTTGTGATGGCTGTAGCCTTATTGTAAATGGACATGTCTATCCTGGCCATGTGCTATTTGCCTCTTATTGTATTGCAGGACCTCTGTATCCAGACCCTCACAATGTAGCCAATAAACCAAAACTGACCCACATTCAAAAGAGGCTCAGTAAATCAACAAAACAAAGTCCGAACTCTGCAGGAGGTACTGAAACAGATCCGTGAGAGCCACCGACGGTGAAAGGCAGAAAGACACACACACACCTGGAAACAGAATGACTGATATGCTGTACAGAACATGGAATTAAACCCAAGGCAGAAAACAGAAACCTAGTGAGTACATACATCACAGAACTTTCAGTCATAGGTGTCATCAACCCTATAGGAAGCATGCCGAGACAGAAAATGATGATCATCTGGTAGCAGACACAGTGAGCACCCAACAAGCTTTTAAATAGCGAGCGTGGATGTGACGAGCCAATCCATAATGAACCACACAGGTGCCCCGAGAGGAAATTGCCCGAGCCTGAAGGTAATTGCAGCCCAAATTCCTGGGCTACGAAAAAAGTGACTGCAGCCCACCATATAAACAATCATGCAAACCCCAGTGCACTCCAAGCCCAACCAATCACACTGCCCCAACCAACGGGCCCAAACAGAGGAGTCAATGACTCATGAACAGCCCAAGGTGAGGCCCTCCACCCAAGTGCCCGGCCTCTCAGGGGCGAACTCCCAATTACACCAGAGAAGCAACTTAACAGCCAAAGGGCAGTGATAGTGAGCACTCAGGAAGGACGACTACATGCAGCTCGAAGCACAAAAGCCAAGCCAAGCCCACAAAACAAAGCCAGATATGAAACACGCACATGAAGCAAATACCAAAATAATGGTAAAAACATGCAAATGATGAAGATGAAGTCCAATGGATGACCATTGGATGAAATTCAATGGATCGCCAAGAATTCCAGAGAACAACATAGAGCACAGAGGTGTCTACAGATTTAGTGGCAAAAATGCTCAAGGAGCTAAGGAAGAACAAAGCAGTTGGCCCAGATGGCATTTTACCATGGATTCTGAGAATGTGCACCTCAGCTCAGCAATCCACTTCAACTGATTTTTCAGGCATCCCTGTGTACAGGAGTCCTAGCAGTGTGTGGAAAAAGGCTAACGTAGCTCCATTCTACAAAAGTGGCAGCAGTGAAGACCCCCTCAATTATAGACCTGCATCATTGACAAGTGTAATAGTCAAAATATTGGAAAAAATAATTATAACTAAATGGGTAGAACACCTGGAAAAAAATTATATAATATCAGGTAGACAGTATGGTTTTCTATCTGGAAGATCCTGTATAACGATTTACTCAGTTTTTACGATAGAGCCAGAGATATTTTACAGGAAAGAAATTGACTGCATCTATTTAGACCTAAAAAAAACTCTCAACAGAGTTCCACATAAGATGTTCTGGAAATGAACATATTGAAAGAGTGACAGGTAGGCTTCTAACATGTATGAAAAATTTCCTGACAGAAAAATGAGGGCAGTCATCAGAGAATGTATCGAACTGGAGAACTGTCAAATGGAATATACCTGAAGCATATCTGGAGGGGGTTTCGGGAGTAGTTCTACACCCAGAGCCCATCCCTAAGTCCAGGCATGACTTGTGATAACTTGGTCCAACAGGCTGTTGCTTGGAGCGGCCAGCAGGCTCTCATATTCGCTACAGCCTGGTTGATCAGGCACTTCTTGCATGAACTTGTCTAAATGCCTCTTGAATACATCCACCTTTGTTCCAGAGTACCACAAGGTTCAGTTCTTGCACCGGTAATGTTCATTGTTACATAAACGATCTACCAGAAGGAATACAGAACTATGTGAACATATTTGCTTATGATGCTAAGATACTAGGGAAGATAAGAAACTTAGACGATTGTCATGCCCTTCAAGAAGACCTGGACAAAATAAGTGTGGAGCACCACTTGGGAAATGGAATTTAATGTGAATAAATGCCATGTTATGGAATAAGGAATAGGAGAACATGGCCCCCACACACAACCTAAAAATTGTGAGAAATCTTTAAAGAATTCTGATAAAGAAAGATCTAAGGGGTGGTTCTAAATAGAAAACCATCACCTGAGGGCCACATAAAGAATATCGTGCAAGGAGCCTATGCTACATTTTCCAATTCCAGAATTGTTTTTAACAGTATCGGTCACCTTGGACCAGACTCGCGTCCATTATTTTTCTCTTGAATCCTAGCTTTGGACCGGACTTGCGTCCACTACAAAAATATTTGTATAAAATTCATTTTTTATCCAATCGACCTCGGGATAGTATCAAAATAAGCGCCTTTAGATTGCGCACAATTTGATACCAAAATGAAAGATATAACATGAAACTTGATGTCCGAACACTTGAAAGATTATAAATAGGTTTTTGGTCAAAATATTAAAATATTTGTTAAAATTCTATTTATTGTCCTATTATCTTGGGACTAGTTTTAAAATGCGCACCTTTATGTTGCGAACAATTTGATACCAAAATGAAAGATGTAACACAAAAATTCATGTCAGAACACTGGAGAGATGTAAATAATTTTGTGATGATGAGCTTCCAGAATTAAAATATTTGTTAAAATTTCAGTTATTGCTCTATTATTATGGGACTAGTTTTAAAATACGCGCCTTTTTATTGTGAACAATTTGATACCAAAATGAAATACGTAGCACGAAAATTGATGTTATCAAATTGAACGAGTACACACATTAGGTTGCAGTGTACAAATTGGTGCTTGTTCACGGGTAACTGTAGGCTTTTCTGCGGGGAGGCACTCCAGGCTTTTGTACATTATATTCATACACATCTGTAGGGAATTTAATTGCGAACACAATGATACCAAAATGAGCGATGTAGCACGAGAATTAAGGCAAGAAAAATGGAACGAGTATGCACATTTTACTGATTTTGTGCGCTCACGGGTAACTTTTGCCGACTTTAGGCTTTGCTGTTGGGAGTCACGCCGGGCTTTTGGACATTATGTTCATGTACACCTGTAGGGAATTTAATAGCGAACACAATGATACCAAAATGAACGACGTAGCACGAGAATTAAGGCGAGAAAACTGAAACGAGTATACTGTACACATTTAGGCGTCGCTGCGCGCTTGCCCGCACACTCGCCCGCACATTGGGTGCATGGCCTCTAAGTTGGCGGCGCGCCTGTCGGGATACAGATAGTGTTAAATACAGTGGAACTTTGGTTTACGAATGCCCTGAATTATAATTTTTTTGGTACACAAAGTTAATTTCCTCATAAAATATGACCTGGTGTACGAAGTTTGCCTTGGAATGCAAGTCATATGTTGATATTTGCATGGGTCGAGCAAGTGGTTCTGCTGGGCGCGGGGTGATGCAATTCTTGGTTTACCAGTGTATCCTGCCTAGTGACAACCACACTTGAATTCTTTATGAAGACTTTCATTGTTTTTCTGCTTTTTTGGTTTCATAACATAAAAGTTAATTACTGTACTGTATATGGATGGTGAAATACTAAAGAAATTGTTCACAACCTTTGTTAGACCAAAGCTGGAATATGCAGCAGTTGTATGGTGCCCATATCTTAAGAAGCGCATCAATATACTTTGATTGGTGCAAAGACATGCAGCTAAATGACTCCTGGAACTGAAGGACAAGAACTACGAGGAGAGGTTAGAGGCATTAAATATGCCAAAACTAGAAGATAGAAGAAAAAAGAGGCGATATGATCACTACGTACAAAATAGTAATGGTGATCGATAAGATTGATAGCGAAGACTTCCCCAGACCTGGAACTTCACGAACAAGAGGTCATATTTTTAAACTAACTAAAGAATCTGCCAAAGAAATATAAGAAAATTTACTTTTGCAAACAGAGTGGTAGACAGTTAAAACAAGTTAGGTGAGAAGGTGGTGGAAGCCAAAACAGTCAGTAGTTTCAAAGCGTTATATGATGAGAAGTGCTGGTTCCCACAGAAAGCCAGTGCAGACAGGACATCAACACAGAAATCAACCAGAAAGACATACTAAAGAGAGAGGAGGCAGCAAAGACCCACCAACCCACCTCATATTGTCCCCTCAAAGATGCAAATGCGACACCAAGCAGTCTGCCAAATGACCCCAACATACAAACTTTATACTTGAGATGAGTGGAGAGCTTGGAATTATAGTCTTGCAGCCTTTGCTTTGAAAGTGGCAGAGCCTTAGGAAGGGAAGGGAAGGAGGTTCAGAAAAAGGACAAGAAGGGCCAGAGAAACCAAGGCTAACCCATGGTGAAACGCCATCTGGGCCAGCTGCTTTGTTCTTACCGAGCTCCTTGAGCATTTTTTCCACTTCGTCTCTAGACACCTCTATGTGTTCTATGTTGTTCTCTGGAATTCCTATTGTATCTGGTTCCCTAAAGATTTCATTTTGTACAAACACACTTTGGAACTTTTCGTTTAGTGTTTCACACATTTCCTTTTCATCTTCCGTGAATCTATTTCCCATTTTCAACCTCTGAATATTATCCTTTACCTGCAATTTGTTGTTTATGAATTTATAGAATAGACCTGGTTCTGTTTTACATTTGTCCGCAATCCCTTTTTCAAAATTTCTTTCTGCCTCTCTCCTCACTGCCGTGTAGTTGTTTCTCGCATCTTTGTATCGCTGGTATGTTTGGGGGTTCGGCCTCTTCCTGTATTGATTCCATTTTTGTGTCTTTCGGTCTCTAGCCCTCTCGCAATTTCTATTGAACCAATCCTGTTTCCTAGTTCTGCATCTCTATACTTGAGATGAGTGGAGAGCTTGGAATTATAGTCTTGCAGCCTTTGCTTTGAAAGTGGCAGAGCCTTAGGAAGGCTTCATATGCTTCCCAGTCTATGGGAAGGAGGTTCAGAAAAAGGACAAGAAGGGCCAGAGAAACCAAGGCTAAACCAGCTATGTGGAAGCCAGCAGAAGAATGTGGCCTGCAGAAGTCTCTAATCTAGTCAATACATAAAGACGTGTTTGAACTGGACAAAAAGAGGCATGGTGAAGACTACGAATCCCAATCAAAGTGAAATGCATCCATCACTAACACTGTGTGATCAAGAAATGGTGCCACTTAGGTTGGAAGCCATCAGTTAAACAGAGATAAACAGGTTCACCCGCAGACAGTTTCGCATTTACCCCAGGGTAAATAATTTCCTTCAAGAAGAAGCTTATTTTGTTGCACTTATCCTTTAAAGGTGTTCTTTCTTGGTTTTGGGTTGCTCTTTGATCCCAAAGATCCTGAACATGATACTGTATACTTTACATTTTAAGTAAAAAAATATTCAGATATATGATACTGTATACTTTACATTTTAAGTAAAAAAATATTCAGATATAATCTATCTATCTATATACAGTATATATATATATATAGTGGCACCTCGATTAACGAGTGGCTCTATCTACAAGCATTTTGAGTAACGAGCAAGCCACTCGCAGAACATTTGTCTCTACTAATGAGCTTTCCTCGATTAACAAACATTTTCGCTTGTTCGAAAATTCCAAAATTATGGCAGTTCCATAGCAGTGGAACTGCCTTCTCCCTTCACCTTCAATGCCTCTGCACTGGAAGTCTACATCTACACCAGCCCAGATGAGTCATCAGTCCTGCCACCTCTCCATAATCCCCCCCCCCCCCAAGGGCCTGGCACGGCCTGGTACGACTCAGAGGTAAGCTGGGCGCCACTGCTAACTGATAGTTTGCCCCCACAAACAAGCAGTTAGCGGCCTTCAACTGCCAGTGGTGCATCTCAACACAAAGGCACCGCCAGCCACAACGAGCAATTTGCTAGTTGACCAGATGTCCACCTTGCGTTGACACTGGATGAGTCATCACCGCCAGACTATATAAAGGCCGCTGCCTCCCTGGAGTCAGTCTCTCCCTTAGTGCTCTAGGATCACCTTCGTGTCTCACCCGTCGTCCGCCTTCAGCCAACGTCGTGTGACTGATGCCATGGTGGTACGGTAGCTGTCTTCAGTACACCAGCATATGTATTTATGTTTTGCATTCATTGTTTATAGTTTATTTTTGTATTAATGTCATATTAATTTGTTCACCTTCGCATTATATGATAGCCAAGTATTGTCATGGTTCATTTTTGTTCATTACTATTTCAGTAAATTGTTTAATTATTTATTTGATGATTTTCATTTGTTTCCACCTGCGACTTACACACTGTAAGGCCAATAGCAGCATTTTTTTATTTGTGTGAGGGAGAGCATACCATCTTGGTTCAGTATAGCTGCGATACCACAACCCATCACAATATATATATTAGTACTGTATACTGTATTTTGGAAGCAGTCTTTCTTTTAAACATTTCGTTAAAAACGACAAAGTTTTAGATTTATGATTCTGGCACGAATCTTCTTGATATTCCTTATGTTTTTCTTCACTGAAGCAGGAAGATTAAAGATTAACTCTCCAAAGTTTATTTTTACTTATTATTTGAGTCTGATGCCTAGTGATGCAATTCATAAGGTCTCACCTCACATTTGTCTTTGAGAATGTGAGGTGAGACCTTACGAAATGCATCACTAGACATCAAACCCAAATAACAAGTAAAAATGAACTTTGGAGAGTTAATTTTTAATCTTCCTGCTTCAGTGAAGAAAAACATAAGAAATATTGAGAAGATTCGTGCCAGAATCAAAAATCTAAAACTTTGTCGTTTTCAACGAAATATGTGTAATTTTTTTTTTAAAGCAATGCATTCCAGTCCACAAATATAAACTTCCTCCTGTTGAAG